TCTTTTTGTAGGAGTAAGATTCTCTGCGGTTCTCGCCGGGAATCAAATCAAACCACCCATTGCGACCTTCTTTTTCTCTCTCTTCTGCCCAGATGCTCTACCCGATCTTCTCTCCCCTCCGCGCCTAATTTCTCTTCTCTCGCTTCCATCCATCGCGACATCTGATCATCTTCTTCTCTTTCCTCCGACCGAGATTGATGGATTCTGACCCCTCTTCCAAAGGTCTGCAGCCCATCCTGGGTACCGGTCTGAGTGTCCCTTTTCCGAAAGTCCGCCCCGCCGCCAATGGAAACGGCACCCCCGCCGTGGCGCCCGATCATGCCCTCCCGCGAAGACACCGTACCTCCATCAGCATGAGACCCGCGTCCCGTTCTCATCGCCATACCGTCTCCATGAGCAGCCAAACCTCCAGCACCTTCAACGAACCCCTCACCCGCGAGGACCGAGAGAAGAATGGCGAGGATGATACCCAGTACAACCTGTTCAGTCAGGTATACGAATGGCTCCAGCGCGAAAAACATAAGCAGAGGTCCCGTGGCGCTTCACAGACCGATGGCCCGGGAAGCGATGGAGATGACGACGACGAGGATACCCCCGCGGCACCGTCCAAGGAGCTGCCGTCGCATGACGCCGCCCCGCCGTTGGCTCTGGAAAATTTAGAAAAGATCCTTCTGCAGTATGCGACCCACGGAATGCCGCCGGCTCGTCGCCCAGGCCGTCGACGCAAGGGACTCCGCCGGGGCTCCGTCTCGGATTCCGACTGCACGGATGTCGAAGCGGCTCCCCCCGCGGTTGATGCGGTGCTCGATAATTCCAAGACCCTGGCGTATACTGGTGGTGGAGCCGAGGAAGAGGACGGCGAGGATGGTGAGAACGGCGAGAATGGGGAGCTGTCGCGGAAAGCTTCGGATCGGGAGGCCTGGATGGTCTTCAAGAGCGAGATCCTTCGTATTACGCAGACGCTCCGGCTCCGGGGATGGCGCAAGCTTCCCGCGGACCTCGCCGGCGACATCGAAGTGGTCCGACTCAGCGGTGCCTTGACCAATGCCGTCTACGTCGTCAATCCCCCACAGAACATTCCCCCGCCCAAAGCGGAGGATGGCTCCTATACCCTGGTGCCTGCCAAGCGCCCCGCGTAAGTCCTTATGCGGTTTTTTGCTTCTACTTATTTAGTTGTTTTTTTTTTTTTTTTTTTTTAATGTTGCTAACTTCCTTAGCAAACTTCTTCTCCGGATCTATGGGCCCCAGGTGGACCACCTGATCGACCGCGAGAAAGAACTGCAGATCCTGCGACGCCTCGGACGGAAGAACATCGGACCCAAGGTGCTGGGCACCTTCAAAAACGGTCGGTTTGAGGAGTACTTCGAGGCACGGACGTTGACCCCGCCCGATCTGCGCGACCCCGCGACCATGGTGCAGATCGCGAAGCGCATGCGGGAGCTGCACGAGGGTGTCGAATTACTGGAGGACGAGCGAGAAGGCGGCCCTATGGTCTTCAAGAACTGGGACAAGTGGGTGGACCGCTGCGAACAAGTCATCAACTGGCTGGACAAGGAGATCCGATCCCGTCACAACGAGGCGAAATCGGCGTCGGAGCCATGGCGCCGACGGGGCTTTGTCTGCGGGGTCCCGTGGACGACCTTCCGCAAAGCCGTCGATAATTACCGACAGTGGCTGGTTACCAGCTGCGGGGGAGGAACCGAGATCAAGCAGAATCTCGTTTTCGCTCATAATGATGTGAGTTATCCCTCTTCAAAGTGATCGGCCGGAACTCATGAATGTGTAGACCCAATACGGCAATCTGCTTCGCTTGGAGCCCGCCTCAGAGTCGCCTCTGCTCCGCCCCGAGAATGAACACAAGCAGCTGGTCGTCATCGACTTTGAATATGCGTCGGCGAACACGCCAGGCTTTGAGTTCGCCAACCATTTCGTGAGTGCGCCCACAGATTGCGTTTGATCGTTTCCGCGCTGACGAGACAGTCTGAATGGTGTTACAACTACCACGACCCGGAGAGGTCCTGGGCGTGCAATACCAAAGCCTTCCCCACGCCGGAGCAGCAGCGTCGCTTCATCACGGCGTACTTGGCTCATCGTCCCGGAATGAAAGGACCGTCATCCTCTCCTTCAATCACCCCCCTCATGCGCGGCATGGCGTCTGCGCACATGTCGACCCTCGCCCCGTTGGATCTGGACACGCCGGACGCCGATCCGCAGGCGGCAGCCGACACAGTGCGCGCCCACGAAGACAGCGTGGAAACCAAGCTCCAAAGCCTGATGCACCAGACCCGACTCTGGCGCGTGTTCAACTCCGCGCAGTGGGTGGCCTGGGGCATCGTGCAGGCCAAGGTTGACGGCATGGAAGAGGGCATCGCCGCGGATGCGGTATCGAGCGGGCTGAGCTCGCCTACGGAGTCTCCCGCCGGTCGAACCCACTCCCGCACCCCCTCAGTCGACTCCGCCGCTGGCGCCGACGACGAAGAAGACGAGTTCGACTACCTGGCTTACTCCCAGGATAGGGCGATGTTCTTCTGGGCCGACCTGCTCGAGATGAACCTCATCCGGGAGGACGAGCTGCCCACAGAGACGGTCGAGAAAGCCAAGGCGCGAATGACTGGTTACTAACCCAGTACGACTCGTGTATTGATGATAAGTTGGTGATAGGGGTGCATGTTGATATGAATGATACAGCTCGAACGGACAAATGCGAGGAATGACTTCTTCAACAGGGTCAGCATGTTGTTCTGCAGATATCATGACTCACGATGTACATATAACTAGTTACATAGTATGATGATAGCGAGTGGATTTAGCTCTAATAATCTACATGGCTCTGTTCAACTAGGGCTACTTATTATTTTATTTTCAATGTGGGTTGAGCGTGGTTTGGTCTTCTGTGGTCGATCAAAGAATAAGAGTATGTATAAGGCACTGTCTTGCTAGCTGCTATCGTGATAGTTGTCGATCTATATCTATATCAATATCTCTTGATTGAACCATCAGAATGGGCAGAATTGAGTAGTCAGGTCTTTTTTTTCTATTAGTGGGGTGGTGTATGTATTGACTAGACTAGATGTGAAAGACATAAGTGGTACTACAGGAGCCAGTACTTATAGTCACGTAGCAAGGACGTCAATCATGTCTATTCATAATATAGCCATAAAGACATACAGATACTCTAGACATATATCATAACAGGAGTAACTGAGAAAAGAAGAAATAGAGAATAGAGAATCCGAAAAAAAAAAAAGAAGAAAAGAAAAAACTACCTCCTATTCAACCTCCTCTGCGTCTCCCCCTTAGCCCTCTCAACCCACTCCTCAAACTCCCCCCTCCCCTCCTTCATCCCCGCAACCCCCTTCAGCACCTCCCCGATGAACCCCACAAAGTTCGACCGCCGCAGCGTATTCTCCCACGCCCACGCGCGCCTCTTCCGCTCCTCCCTCTCCATCAGCTCCGCGTCGCCGATCTCGCTCGCCCGCAGTCTCAAGTCCCGCACGACAGCCATGAGGTTGAACCGCGTTTCGCCCTCGGGGTACCGCGCGATACGTCGCTGGAGAACACCGATGACTTTCTCCGCGAAGTCGTCCCCGCCCGCGGCTTCGCCCGCGCAGCTCCCGTGCGAGATGGGATAAGGCTGCAGGCCGTCCAGCTCGTACAATGTGCCGTTCACAGCCGTGTAGGCGATGAAGTGGTAGGCGTCTCCCTCTTCGTCGTTCGCGTCGCGCGTCGTCTCATCGACGAAGGGGCTCGCCTTCGCGAAGGCGTTGTGCGCTGTGCGGATCTCTTCGCTGTTGGAGAGGGCCTCGCCGCGGAGGTCGGGCGGGAAGCCGGTCGTGAAGTCTTTGAAGGAGTGGAGGGTGGGACCGAGCTCGATTGGCTGGGGTTGTTTGGGGCTGTCTTGGTTGAGGATCACGGAGAGGATGGCTTGCGTGCCGCAGGCGTTTTGGATTGTTTGCGCGGCGAAGAAGAGGTTTTCGGGGGGCGTGGTGTCGTAGGTTCCGTCGAGGGGGGTCGTTGTGGTTTGGGTTGGGGCTTGGTCGCGCATCCATTTGAAGAGGAAGATGACGCCGTAGACGGGGCTGGGCTCGTCTGTTAGATAGTGTTATAGAATTGGTGTATTATTTATTGAAGGGAGATTGGAGGAGGGATACCTAAGTGAGCGAATGGTGTCTGCATCTAGGGAGATGAGCTCTTCGAACTGGACGCCTTTGACGCCGAGGTTTTCGACCAGCGAGGTGAAGACGCCCTGCAGTAGTTTTAGTTGTGTTTCCTATCTTCTGATCATGATTGACATACCTCGTCGGACTCAATTGTGCTCCAGCCTCCTCCGTCGGCCATTTTGATTGATGATGGTGATTTCAAGGGAGTAGGTTGGCTGAGAACAGGTCGTGGACAGTTGATAGAATATGGTGATGGGTTATGTCATTTGAGCTGTGATGGCGGTTGTTTGCATTGTTTGTTAGCCAAGCCTGTATATCTGGTCAACCAACTGGGGAGAATTATTAGTTCTGGACTATTATGAATAGAGAAGAATTATTAACAATCTTTTCAGGGAGTACATCCTATTATTGGCATACTGGTATGGTTGGTGAGAGCTGTAATGCCTACTCAGAAGTCATATACACGGCATCTTCTGCTCCAGGAGTCGCATTGTGTATGCGGAAAATACTTATAGGAACTTCACTAGATATGACAGGAAAATTTAGATTGTCTAGTACGATAAGTTTGTTAAACCAGCAGCTGATGTGATGGAGGCTTGGTAAGCTGTATTTCACATTGGCCCATGGGCTGTCTCAAATTTATATACTCGAGTCGTAGCTTTATTTATGAGCAAAGCCATCTGCAGTTGTGACTATTTATGATTGTGCATTAATTTTGTTGGTTTCTGTCTTTATCTACTGTCGATTATACTGGGCATTCTTACTCTTATCAACACATGCTACTAGTGACATGTTACTACCATCCTTTAGCAAGTTTATTAGAACATGTTATCCAGCAGACTCATATCTTCTAGTCCTATTCTCCCAGCAATAACATACTCTATCCCTGAACTATTCACCAGAAACTGACATACAAGGATACCATACCTAGCCAATACTGCTAGCTCGATACTCGGTCCAAACTACCGATATCCAGACTTAACAGCAACCTATTTGGCCGATTACCACCGTCTCTCGGCTCACCAGTCCTACCCCACCCAGCTCCTTAGCACTCGGCTACCCTTAGCATCTGCTAGCAGCGCAGGAGGCGGCACCGTATCCACTATACACAGACACGGATAAGACCCTACTCGGTGCCAAGGGCTCTCGACTCGCACCTCGGGCAGATGACCCTGAAACAGAGCCCGTGGCGCATCAGTACATGGCGTCTTTGGCTTGAATAGAGTCCCTGTTGTGGTCTGGAAGCAGCGGACCACTGGGTCATCCGACCATGGAAATGGCTGATTCAGTGGGGTTGGAGGGTGAAACGACCGTTTGGTGGCGGGGTATCACAGTGTCAATGCGGTGCATAGCTTACCGTCGAGTGTCGACGATAAAACACGGAGTGGAGATTTGAAGCGTGAGATAACGACGGGTCTCCTGAGCTACCGTGTAGTGAAGCTCAGTTGACCTGTGTATTTCTTCGGACACTGGGTTTCTTTTTATTTACCCGTGGATTTGTTTGATTATTCCATGATTTTTGCTTGGGTCCACTGACACTATCAACCAAATGAGGTCTAGAGGTCTGTACCTTGCGTGGTCTCCTGCATCCAATCTATACGATCAGCCCGAGGAATCACTACTACCCCCCGGCAGTATAGGGAATGATTTCCGGCTCCTAGATTGACCGGATGAGATCGGGACCTGATATCGGTCCCATCAACCGATACGCTAAGAATTGAAGGCCTACTAATCAAAATGTCGGGCTGGCCTCGGTGCGGATGCGCGTTGTTGACGGGCGCTAATATCTGACATGTGGATGGATGATCCGGACTAGAGTGGACTAGACGAACCATGGAAGGTCTTGCTGTGGTGTTTGGTGTCCACCGCGTGTCGGATTGGGCTAACTCGAGCGGGAGCTCCGTGCTCTCTTTTCCCTCTTTTTCTCTTCGTATTCCTGTCTTCCTTTGTCCATTTGGTCTTCTGACTTTTTCCTTCCCCGCAATAATTTCGACGGACTGTCTTTCTTTCTCACTAGTTTGGAACTCGTTGCCACAGCTCCTCACCTCTTCTTTTTTTTCCCTCTCCTCCCTTTTCCTCTTCCTTTCACTCTCTCGCTCACACTCTCGCTTGGTCGCTCGCTTTTGCCTTCACCAACCCCCATTCCTACGATCCACCGTTCGATTCAGCAGGCTGGATTCGACTCTATATATATCACGGTTCCGTTAATATAATATAATAGCTTCGGAAATCCTCCGGATCCGACATCATGGCCAACAAGCGGGAGCACTACATCCCCAAGATGCACAAGAAACCTCCTTTTTCCTTCGAGGTTCCCGACGTGGAAAAGATCTCGGGGGAAACCCTCCCCCGCCGAAACATCAGATGTAAGGACGGCCTCATCAACCAGCCCGACCCCTCGATCCGAACCATCTACGACGTCGTCACCTACGGCGCCAAAAAATTCGGTAATGCGAGATGTATCGGAACCCGGAAGGTTCTCAAGGTGCACAAGGAGACCAAGATCGTGAAGAAGGTGGTGGATGGCGCTGAGAGGGACGTCCCCAAGGAGTGGTCCTACTTCGAGCTCAGTCCTTACTCGTTTCTCTCGTTCGTCGAGTTCCAGGCCCATGTGAGCACCCTCGGTGCCGGGTTAAAGAAGATCGGGATGGAGCAGGGCGATAAGATCCATCTCTACGGCGCAACCAGGTATGTCGCATTATCATGGAGTGCGCTATAAAGCTAACCTCTGTAGCATGAACTGGTTCTCCATGGCACATGGCGCATTTACCCGATCTTGCGCCATCGTGACCGCCTACGACACCCTCGGCCTCGAGGGTCTCCAGTGGTCCCTCAAGCAGACGAAATCGAAAGCCATCTTCCTCGATGCGAGCCTGTTATCGACGCTCAACAATGCCCTGTCCGAGGCCCCCGCCATCCAATACGTCATCCTCAACAACGAGTCCGAACCGAGCCAGCCCGAGCTGGACTGGCTCAAGCGCCAATTCCCCCACGTCCAGGTCTTCCGGTTCGATGAAATCAAGCAGCTGGGCGAGGAGAACCCGGCGGAGCACGTCTGCCCCGAACCCGAGGATCTCGCCTGTGTCATGTACACCTCGGGCACCTCGGGCCCGCCCAAGGGCGTGACCATCAAGCACAAAGCCGTCGTGGCGGCGATTGCCGGTGCGACCTCGATCGTCGGCCCCCACATCGGCCCCGGGGATGGGCTCCTCACTTATCTCCCGCAGGCGCACATCATCGAGTTCCTCTTCGAGAACGCGGCCTTGTTCTGGGGCGCGACGATGGGCTATGGGTCTCCCCGGACCCTGACGAAGGCCTCGGTCCGCAACTGTGAGGGCGACATCATGGAATTCCGCCCGAGTGTGCTCGTCGGCGTCCCGGCGGTCTGGGAGACGATCCGCAAGGGCATCGTGGGCCAGGTCAACGGAGGTAGTTTCCTCACCCGCAACCTGTTCTGGGGTGCGCTCTCTCTCAAACAGTTCCTCGTGGGGAAGAACCTTCCGGGTGTCCGGCTTCTGGACAGTCTGGTCTTCGACAAAGTCCGTGCCGCCACGGGAGGTCGACTGCGACTGACCATGTCCGGCGGCGGGCCCCTCGCCAAGGACACCCAGCGGTTCATCTCCATGGTCGTCTGCCCCGTCATCAATGGCTACGGTCTGACCGAAACGTGCGCGATGGGCGCACTCTGCGATCCCCTCGCCCTGACGTTCGACGCCCACGGCGATATCCCCACCTCGATCGAGCAGAAGCTGGTGGACTTCCCGGAAGCGGGCTACTTCACCACCAACGACCCGCCCCAGGGCGAGCTCCTCATCCGCGGAGACCCGGTGACCACGGCGTACTATGACAACGAGGAGGAGACCAAGCTCGCCATCCGGGAGGGCGGGTGGTTCATGACAGGCGACATTGCCGAGTTCGACAAGAACGGACACATCCGTATCATCGATCGCAAGAAGAACCTCGTCAAGACGCTCAACGGCGAGTACATCGCGCTGGAGAAGCTCGAGTCCATCTACCGGGCGTCGCCCCTGGTCGCCAACATCTGCGTCTTCGCCGCGGCGGACCAGAGCCGACCGATCGCCATCATCGTCCCGGCGGAGCCTGCCCTGATGCGACTGGCGAAAGACAATGACATCCCGGGTAAGGGGATGGAGGACGTGATCGACAACCCCAAGATCCGTAACCTCGTCCTGGCCGAGCTGCAGAAGGCGGGCCGACAGGGTCGCCTGGCGGCGTTTGAAATCATCGAAGGTGTTGTTTTGGATCGGGACGAGTGGACTCCCCAGAACGTACGTATCATCCTTTTTTTCTTCCGTTCGTCACCCATTGTACAAAATGCTAACACCGTCAACAGGGCCTGGTTACCGCCGCCCAGAAGGTCCAGCGCAAGAAGATCTTCCAGAAGAACGAAACGGCCGTCGAGCAGGCCTACAAGAAGGGTCAATAGGCTCTTCCTTATCAGTCTTGCATGGGATATCATTTATTAGCCGCAGGTGGGATGGCATGGATTTCGGATAGCACATTGATCATAGCATTATTCATCGACTGTAACGATACACTAATTTCTATCTCTTCCCTTCCTTCCTTTCTATCTATACATATGATCTCGTAAGATAGTTAGCTAGTCTCGGTAGCACATGTAATACGATAAGCGAGTTAATCTAATCTGCGGGGACCCTGAAACGGCCCTGTCAGACACCAGACTCAAACTCGGACCATATCTGTATCGATATCGAATCTGATTAGATGAAGCATCCACGCTTGCGTTGGAAGTAAATACAAGATACGAGCGGAGTTCGTCTAACATTAGCTGCGAGATACAGCCGACAGGCCAGACCAGACCATTCAACTCTTGTCCTCATTGCAATAAACAGATAGATCAGACCAATAGGTGGAATGAACGGTGATGTCCCTGGGTTAAAACCAACAGGCCAAGGCGAGGCTGGGTGAAGGATTCTAGCCATTTATTAAAATTTTCCGAGGGTAGGATACCCGTTTTTTTTTTTTTTTTTTTTTTTGGGTCCACTGGGTAGCTATTCTCTAGCCTACTCAAATAAGTTAGTCTTAAGTTTAGGTTTAGATACTAGTTAGACTCTGGATCCATCTAACAAAGCATTGTCGGAGTCCTCCGTCCTCCGCACATACTATTTATTCCTCACGAAGTGTCATGTCAGTGTAAAGTGCCAGTGCCATCCACATCCAAATCCTTATTTCAGCCCCATCCAGAGTCCACCTCCCCTCCCACCTAGATATAACCACACCTCAAGTAACGTGGCTGAAGCGGGAAAATGAAGGACGGGCCAAAATCTCGTATTCATGCAGCCAAGACGGGGCCCCGTCAGTGGAATCAGCGAACGGGAATTGACTCCCTCTTAGTGAACTTACCCTCTTCTGGGAAAAGCAAGATGATCAGCGCGGTGAAATCCGTGACTAGCCTTCTTTTGTCCTCTAACTGTCACTGTTAATCTGCAGAGTGGACGAGGGGATGGATGGATGGGGTGGATATATGCGAGGGGACGGCGTGGGCGTGGGCACGGGCTGCTGTCAGTTGGTAGGTAGCTTGGCGCTAGAGGCTGAATCCTGGGATGAAAATCTAGTTAACTAGTTAGGTAGGTAGTGTTGGTTTGCTATAGGGGGGGGATATTCTTCTCTTTTCGGCTCTTTCTTTCTTTACATATTACATACATACTGTTGTTGCTGCTACACCTTGCATTACGACTCAAGTATGCCTATTCAAGAGTAACACAACCACACTATACACAGAAACCCACCGTCAACACAATACCTACAACACGACACAACCAGCCAAGATGCACCCCCTCACCCCCCTCCTCCCCCTAACCCTCGCGTCAACCGCATCCGCATGGGCCCTAATCTGGCGCAACGCCTCCGGCTTCCCTCGCACCGAACACACCAACGAAATCCAACCATGCAAGCAAATCGACCACGCCAAAGGCGAGCAATTCGACTGGGACGCGCAAGGCGGCGACTGGTGCATATACTTCTACATGCAAGACAACTGCACCCAGGGCAAGGGCCACGAGTGCAACAATCGCGACTGGGTCACCACTGCGTCGGCGGATCTGAAGTCGTTCAAGATCGAGGAGGGATTCTCCTCGAAGGCGACGGTCCCGACGGCTACTGCGACGGAGACGGTCACCGTTGATCGGGATGTGGAGGTGCCGGTGAGCGCGCCGCCGAGTGCGGGCGTTATTGCGGGGGCGATTGTCGGTGCTATTGTTGGCGCGGTGGCTTTTATCTTGTTGGGGTGGTTTTTGGGGAGGAGGGGCGGTGCGAGTGCTGCCGGGGCGGAGGGTGATGCTGCTGCTGGTGGCGGCGCTGCGGGAGGAGATGCTGCTGCTACGGCGGCGGCGGTTGCGGCGGCGGCAGAAGAAGAGGAGAAGAAATTCGCTCCCCCGGAGCGTCCACCTACTCGACCACAGCATACCGACAGCTTCTCGAATACGTCGCAGATGACGCCGCCGCTTCATCCGCCTGTCCCTGTGGCGTACCCTCCTGCTGAGTTGCTTGCTACTACTGGGGAGGTGGAGATGAGTGATTCGCATCGGGTGGTGGAGATGGGGCAGGGTGGGAGGAATGAATAGTGTCTGTCTGTCTGTCTGTCTGTCTTGTCTGTCTGTCTTGTCTGTCTGTCTTGAAATGATTAATGAGGGTGGTTGGTTTGGAATGTGCTGGGGGTGGGATTGTGGGTTTGATCTTTGGTTTTTGTTTGTTGTGCTGAGGTTGGTGTGGTGTTTTGAATTGCTGTTAGCGATATAATATAATCGATATACCCTTTGTTTAGTATGGTCTTTTTGATACCCTTCTGGTTAGTGTTGATCGAAATAACAAGAAGATCTGTGTTGACCTTTGGTGTCTAGTCATGGTTGATACGAGGTAATAGTAGTATAGTAGTATAGTAGTATAGTAGTATAGTAGTATAGTAGTAAGGGTAGTAGTAGTAGTAGGAGTAGTAGATGGACTATTAGTATGTACGATATCTCCACTTAAACATAGCACAAATGTTTTGAACGTCTGACTTTTGCTCGGCGTTATGTTATGTTGACCTGTTCATGTTATGTTGACTTGTTGGCGGATTGGAATAGTATGACCATCGGACGATATTGTTCCTTGTGTATAGATATGGTAGTTTCTTTGCTTAGTAGCACAAGCATACCATATGAATATTTCGCCCACAGTGTGTGGTTGCTGGATGTATGTAAGTTTGAACTTAGGGGATATGCAGTTTACTTCAGTTTATGGCATGAGTCGTTTTCTTAGTTCACATTTGATTCAAGTGAAATATGAATTATCCATAGATGTTCAATGTTGAGTGTTGAGTTTGAATGGTATCGAGTAGTGACATAAACATAGGAAACAAACAGACATATGCAGTCGGGGTATATGGGCAGAATGTATCAAACGAATAAAAGATAAGAAGGGGAAAAGACAAAAGGAAAGACACTGGTTCAACCAGTTTAGTAGATATGTTGGTTGGGGTATAACAATCAGTCAAGCACATCAGTACAAGGGCATGTCGCGATAATTGCATGCGTCATTCAGTGGGATATCGAATGGAAGAAGCCAACTGGCTATGTCGTATGTCCATGCATCAATATGGTTGAGGTGACGTCAAGTCCTCAAGATAGTAGGAGCCCCGTCACAAGGTTACGAACAAGACGGGTAGCTAGCATCATCGCACAGCATGCCCGTCTCTGTCCATCGCACAGGCGGTGGTCGCGTTTGGTAGAATGCGGTAGGACAACCGGACCGCTTGCGATACAGTCCAGATGTCGGGCACCGGGTAGGGCGGAGAAAGGGTGGGGACATTGCCTCGTGGTACTCCAGCATGGGTGGGGAGATGGATGTGTGTTGAACACGGAGTCGTGATGGTGTTTCGTCTGGTGTCACAGTATCGGATAGGATAGGTTGGTATCAAGATATCAGATCGACCTGATGTGTCTGGACGGTCGCTCAGTTGACGTAGACCATCACCGCAAAGGAGATTAGGCAGAAACACAGCGGAATAAAGACCTTCCGATCCATCTCCGGGTTGGGAACTGGTGAGGATGTGGTAGTGACGGAGCGGGAGAGTGAGTGGCGGGATGATGATTTGGAGGATGAGTGGCCCATGTTATTATCTCTAGAGTGGTTGATGCTGGAGTGTTGTAGTGTGTACGGAGTAAAGGGGGAGGAGTTCGATGAAGAGTAAAGGAGAAGAGGGGCCAGGGTCATTGTATTCAACGTGGCACCCAATGACGCCCCAACATGCCGCATCCCCAACAGATTCATCCGGCCATTGGTTGGTGGTCGCGGGGTAGACCGATTAGGAAAGGTCATTGTGCCTGTAGATTCAGGCAGTACTCCGTGCCTCCTGACTTCATACATTAATTGTGTCGGCATACATAAATCTGTTAAGCAGATGTTTACATAATGCGCACCCCTGTTGGCCGAGTCATGTGAAGGCCGACGGTAGTAATCAATCAGCTGACTGACACCCAAAGCGTGCGCGTTCGAGCCTCGCCGGTGTCAGTTTTTTTCTTGTTCCGGCTCTATCTTTTTTTCTTCCTTTTTTTTTTTGGGTTCGAGAGTTCCATGGACCTTCCTCGGTCCACTTCCAGCCCCGTGATTTGACCAGGACAGCAAACTATCGATGTTCACCTCCACCTGTATCTCCATTCCAGACCTGATACTCCATAGTCCGTACGGACATGTCAGTTGAGGCTGCCACGCAGGACTTTACACAATTAACTGTTTTGTCCGACGTGGCCATGATCCAGCTGCAACATCTCATCTGTTGTCCTGTTCCGTACTCCATGCTCCTGTTTCGTACTCGTAATATGGAGTATGAAGTACGTGGTCCAAGGGTGGGACTTTCAGCCGACGGCCGTGGTCTTATCTGTGGGGGTGTTCCATTCAACCAGCCCGAACCGGGGTGTGGCTGTGGGAGAGGACCATTTGGGAAATGGCCTCCACTATGGCCACCAGAACGAAATGATGTATTACTTGAGATGTTCAACATGGGGTTTGGTAGACTCCATCATTCCAGAGGGGAAAAGGAGGGTCTTCCCCATATCATCCACCCTCAATAATTCTACTAAATGAACATCCACATTTGATTCTCTCACATACATAGGATTAAAGTATGAGGTCATGAGTCCAATCAGAACAAAAGTCATTACATTTGAAGTGGACAGGGGGTTTCCACTCTCTAGTCGTACTGATAATCATCATGACAGTATCTGTTGAGGTTGATTTGTTGATGGATGGGGTCCCTTACCTTGGTTACTTTCCTTCTCTAATATTGTCCAGGTAACCAATATTAGATTATCAGAGTGCGTACCTCATAAGTAATACCAAGTCTGTTGACATTACTCTGTAGGTACGAGGTAGTACTACTAACTCAGGTCCCCTGACATAAACCTATGGTCATCTCTACCATGTCTCAGCGCACAGGCCTCTGTCAGCAACCTAGAGGAATGGGAATCTCTAGTTTGATTAGTGTCGTTATATTGACTCTCATGTGTTACTCTCAATCCTGTGACAGCCAAGAACATCATCTGGTCGGATTCTGGCCATTCCCGTTCATTCCTGTCATTCCATCTATTCCATCTATTCCATCCATTCCAGCCCTCTCTTCCTTTCTTTCTCTAAGCGAATCATCCAAAAGGTAGAATTGAAGAGGCAGAAATCAGACTAATTCCACCGACCCACGGCCCGGGTGGGTTCGCCCCGTCAACCTGCGACAACTCCCTGACATGATCAACAGATCGACTCTGCTCCTCTGTTGATTCTTTCTCTTTCCAGTATCTTGTCGCCTATCGTGACACCATCCAGGCACGCTTCCTTCCTTTCCTTTCAACTCTTCCGTTCATGTTCTTTTGTCCTCCCTTCCACGTACTCTCCCAGTGGCAAATAACGATCTCTTCATTTCCTCGACTTGGCGTCCTACCGTGGTGTTTCTTGGCCCCTCTACACCAGTAGCACCGTCTACTCCTAGTGTCTGAGTAGTACACGCCTCCTCCGGTCAAAGTACCAAAGATAGCACTGACCCTTTTTCTTACTCTCTATGGGCTGGGCGGGAATAAATATCAAATCACCACCCGAACAACACGAGCTCATGAGCAATGCTACCCTAGCCCAAGCCAGTCTCTCATTTCTGACATGCAATTGGGTCATCTGTCCAAAGCACAAGCTTTTCCCGTGCCACCCCCCTTCTTTTATGCGCTGCTTTCCCCATCCTGCGCAATGAAGTTGATCCTCCCGACCGCATTAGAGTCACCCTGTGGGTCATGGTCGACTCGTGGGTGGCCTCACGTCCTATCACCATCACTCCTTTCACCAACCATGAATGGGTCCGTCTCCATCCAGGGCTCCATCAGATCGGTGGCCGGTCAACTCACTTACCCACCCGTTCGCTCAATCACATTGTCTGGCCATTGCATGTCGTGACGCAGCCTGCCCTTTGTCAGCGCTGTTTTCCTCGGTCAATCCCACGATTTGCCCCAGGGGAAGCCCAATGCTGCTCCCTCCTCCAATAGGCCGTAGTCAATCCAAACTCTAGACCTCTAGGCTTATCCACCAGTAATAGTCCCCCCGGTTGATTAACCAGCCTTCTTTGTCTCTCAGGGGATGCGAAAGTCAATTTAGCAGGGGACCTCCGTAAGCCGATTACTATATCTATCTGACACTATCGCCAGGTAACCTCCTGGTCTCTCTTACTTCTCCATTTCTCCAGCAACGCTTGTCGTGGTTTACATAGATCGGTCATTCGTTCTGTCGTTCTGTTTTTATTTCCCTCTTTCATTGAAACCGTTCGCTTCTCTCAACCAACCTTCCTCAGATTGAGTCGCCTTTATCCATCGTTAACTGGCGCCGTTTTTGTTTCACTTACCCTCGTTCGCAACCGCGACTCGCATTGGTCGACCTGACCTGCCGTGCACACCATGTTCTTCAAGTATGCGACCGCAGCCTTAGCTGCATTGGCGCCTCTGGCCTCAGCGCAGACCTTCACAGAGTGCGACCCGTTGAAGAGTAAGCCTACGCTTCCCAGGCCGTTGCGCCCCGCCCGTTCTATGATCTGGTGGACACCACTAACAGCGATATAGAGACCTGCCCCAACGACAAGGGCCTGGACACCTCGTCCTATGAGGCCGACTTCACCAAGGGCGAGTCGGCCCTCGACAAGTGGAAGAGCCAGTCCAAGTCGATCAACTTCGGCGATCAGGGTATGGAGCTCACTATCAACAAGCAGGGTGATCACCCGACTGTTGCGACCGAGTTCTATATCTTCTTCGGTAAGGTCGAGGTTGAGATGAAGGCTGCGCCGGGGACGGGTATCGTGAGCACTATTGTCCTTGAGTCGGATGTCTTGGATGAGATTGACTGGGTATGTTTTTCTTGCCTCCCTGTTGGAACTATAAAAAAAAAAAAAAGTGCGACGCGCATAAAACCCCATTCTAATAATACACAGGAAACCCTCGGAGGCGACACCACCCAAATCCAAACCAACTACTTCGGCAAAGGTGACCACTCCTCCTACGACCGAGGATCCTTCGCGGAAGTGGACCGACCCCAGGAGACCTTCCACACCTACACCGTGGAGTACACCAAGGAGGCCATGACCTGGTCCATCGACGGCAACGTTATCCGCACGGTAGCCTTCAAGGACGCCAAGGGCGGCTCCCGCTTCCCGCAGACTCCCATGCGCGTCAAGATCGGTACCTGGGCCGGCGGCGACCCGGACAACGACCCCGGCACCATCGAGTGGGCCGGCGGCGAGACCGACTACGGCGCTGCCCCCTTCACGGCTTACATCAAGTCCGTCAAGATCGAGAACGAGAACCCGGCTTCGGAGTACAGCTACTCTGATAACAGCGGCTCCTTTGAGAGCATCAAGAAGGAAGGCGGTAAGGATGACTCCGATGATGATGATGATGATGATGAAGACTCCTCAAGCACCTCTTCCTCTTCCTCTACCTCCTCTTCCTCCACTTCCACCACATCCTCCTCAAAGGAGGAGTCCACCTCCTCAGACGAGGCGACCACCACTGGCGAGTCCGCCTCAAGCCCAACTGGATCCAGCGCCGCCTCGAAAACCGAAGACAGCGACGGCGCGTCTGCAACGGGCCCTGGCTCAGGCTCTGGCTCCCACTCTGGCTCCCACTCTGGATCTCCCTCAGGCTCCCCCTCTGGTGGCGCCTCTTCCCCCTCCCCCAGCTCTTTCAACAGCGCCGCCCCCTCCAGGACCCCCATGGACGGATCGTCTCTAGCCCTCGTTATCCTAGGCCTTTTCACTGCCATGCTGCAGTTCTGAATACTCTAAGCGGGATTATACTGGATGCTAACTGGTCGCGCGATCCAGGTGCTTAGGTTAATGATTTATTAATTTATTTACTGTCTTTTATGTCTTGGTTGGGTTGGGATGATGCGGGATTCTGTATTTTTTTTTTCTTGCTTTACTGAGTTGTTGAATACCTGTGGTGTGCTTGCTTGTCTGTAGCTATAGTACATATCATTCAGCGGTTTGGCTACCGTACTTATTTTCTTCTTACTATTAACTACCTAGTAATCCCCGTGTTAAAAAGGTCTAGTCGTGGGCCTTGGCTTGATTCCCCTCCTCTTTCTTTCTGACTAGATATTGCATTCCTAAAGGCAGTCAGTCCGGTCATATTGTGAAGTGTCAATGTCTTTATTATTTACTCCTATCGGACTTAATAAGCCTCCACCCTACGTACCACCTATCTAACGGTGACATCGCCGGGCAAATTGTTCTGACTTGTACAATTATGCACCTACCATCCGCTAAAGAAACTCAATCATGCAGCCAAGGATTGGGATAACTCTATAAGCTATTAAATGCACGAAGTACGTAAGCATATGCATGTATGATCGCCACCAGAGCTTTCGTAAATAAATAAAATAATGCTAATCACATCGACACGTCCAAACGCCACGCGGTAAGCCAAAGCCGTTGATCGTTCATATTCATCATGTTAACCGTTGTGTGACGTGGCAGGTTATCCACAGAAAAAATAACAGAATGAAAAAGGAAATACTGATTAAATGATGTTTCCCTTCTTCTGCTGATACGCATGTAACCGGTAAGAAAGGTTGTCGACGACGATTGACACGGGCTCGTGCTGTGCAGCGGCCTCGCGGAATGATTTTAGGAGGGATGATGGGGCTGATTTTTCCTGGTTGCTGTCGGTGGATGAGAGGAAGGTTCCGAGGGCGCCGCTGGGGATGATGGAGTTGAGGAGACTTTTGATGCTGCCTGATGGGCTGGAGGAGCCTGTTGGTGGAGTACGGCCTGTTTCTCTGTTGACGATGGCATCGATTGACTTGATATGGTCGTCTAGGCGCGCTAGATCGTTGGATAGCGCCTCTGCCTTGGATTGCATGCGTGCGGTCAGTTGGTCGAGGTACTGCTCGCGGCGCGACATCTGCGTTAGCGACAGACGCACGTCGGAGGGCTGCGCGCCGTTGTCGCTGCTGGCTGCCGAGGCGGCGCCCGTTACTACGAGATTGTCGACAGCGGAGCGGATATCCGCTTGCAGGGAGTCGAACTTCCAGGCTGCGGTTCTTGTTGCCGTCCAGCAGCCGTCGAATTCGAGATCCAGCTCGTGCTTGGTGCCTGGGTAGGCGGCTTTCAGGGCGGACTGGACGGCGCGGAGCTTGGTCTCGGCTTGTTTGAGGCTCGGGCTGAGGGGGGACATCTCTTGGAGGGTGGTGTTGAAGAGGATTTCGAGGGAGGCCTGGGCGTTTTGGATGGGGTCGTGGGGGGGTTGCGAGGTGGGGGGTTGGGGGAAGCGCGGGGTGCAGCTGGTTGGGTAGAGGGTTGGGATTGCGGGGATGTTGCACAGGGATTGGTATTGTTGGGTGAGTTCGGGGAGGATGAGGAGATGGGCGATTGCGAGGATGAGGAGGGCGTTGAGGAGGTGGCGGAGGGTGGTTAGGAGTTGCGAGGTGGGTTGGGGACTCGATGCGCTTGTCTTGCGCGGGTTGTTTGATGCTGTAGGCTGTTCCTGGTCCTTCTTGGGGGTCGTAGTATGGGCCTGGCTGTCCCGCTTGGTCTCTTGTGTTGGCCGTTGGTGTCGCTGTTTGAGCTGCCCTTTCGACCGTACGACGGGCGCAACCCATGATCCCTCCGAGATAGGCGCCTCGTATATCGAGGGCATGATCAATTCTGGCCCCGAGAGTGAGGACGCTGAGGTTGCCAGCGAGTCTGAGCCATTGCGGTCCTTGCTGCGCTTTTCGCTTTTGCGACGGGGGCTCTGCTCGGAGGTATTGGTTTTGGATGGCGACGCTGTCTGTAGAATGGTCTGCTCTTCCTCCTTCGGTTGGCTTGACGCTACGACCCAGGACTCGCCCAGGATCGGACGCTCCTCGGGACGCGGGGCGTTTGTTGACATCGGGTACTTGGTACTTGGTGTATCTCGGATGTTGACCGGTGGTAGATCAAGACAGGAAACCAACTTTGGTTGGAAGTTCAAGACACCACAGTGGACCCCTAACCCACTATATATGCTCAATTTCCTCGAAATGTAAGGGATATCCCCAGATTGCTGTGAATCCCGAGTAAATACGTCGGCGGCGGCGGGTGAAGAACAACAATCCTCAGAGTGGGGAATGCAGACACATCACGGCAACACTAGTCCCCGTTGGGCCGATCGTCGGTCGGCACAAATTCATCCTCGCCGACGACTGCATCTTCAACGCTTCTTCACGCGGACTTCAACCCGGCCACCTCCTCACAATGCGTCGATTACACCTGCTTTTACGGCAGTCTCGGCTCTACTCATGTCAATCCCCTGTCTCCCGACATCACCTCTTCCGTACTCCCAGAGCACGATTGCTCTCCACAACCACGACGCGACTCTGCTCGTGCTCCGAGCCGCAGTCTAGCCCAACACAAACCTCAGATCCAACTCAACAGTCGACCTCCTCCCAGGATTATCGCAGCCTCGGCCTCGAACAAGACCTATTCACCACGTCCCCCTACAGTCCTGGATCTCCTCTCTTCCTCCCCAATGGCACCCATGTCATCAACAAACTCATCACCTTCCTCCGCACCCAATACCTGCAGTACGGATTTCGCGAGGTTCTGACCCCGACCATCTACAAACGATCGCTATGGGAGGTATCCGGCCATTGGCAAAACTACAAGGATGACATGTACGAGGTCCGCGGGAGAGGCGCCATGGACGAAGGGGAGGGCGAATTGGGCGAGGACGAGTCCTACGGCCTGAAGCCCATGAACTGCCCCGGCCACTGTCTCCTGTTCAAATCGCAGAACCACTCCTACCGGGAACTCCCCATCCGCTACGCGGACTTCAGCCCGCTCCACCGCAACGAAGTCTCGGGCGCGTTGAGTGGACTGACGCGAGTGCGTCGCTTTCACCAGGACGACGGTCATATTTTCTGCCGGCCGCAGCAGATCAAAGGCGAAATCGCATCGGCGCTCGGATTCGTCGATCTCGTGATGACGACTTTTGGACTGGGGCCGTATCGGTTGGTGCTGTCGACGCGCCCGGAGAAGGACTTTATCGGGAGTCTCGACCTGTGGAACAGCGCTGAAGCGCAGTTGCGCGACGCGCTCAACGACACAGGACGGGAATGGGCGTTGAACGAGGGGGATGGGGCATTCTACGGCCCGAAGATCGATATCCAGCTTCAGGACCATGCGGGTAAATACCACCAGCTATCGACCATCCAGCTGGACATGAACCTGCCTGAGCGGTTCGGACTCGAGTACCAGGTGGCCGAAGGCGAGGAGGACTACAACCCCGCGACACCAGGGCGGGCGCGGCCCGTGCTGGTCCATCGGGCCAATTTTGGCTCGATCGAGCGCTTCCTGGCCCTGTTGATCGAACAGTATGCGGGTCGTTGGCCGTTTTGGATGTCCCCCCGACAGGGGATCGTCCTCACGGTCAACCAGGATGATGCCGTGGTCAAGAAAGCGCACGAGGCGGTGGCCCAGATTTCCGGGTTCAAAGCGCTTCAGTCCGGCCTAAAATCTAGCGCAGTCCCACAACCGCTCACCTCCGTCGACTCGACCTTCATGATTGACATTGATGACAGCGCCCAAACGCTCGGAAAGAAGATCCAGCGCGCTAAGCAGATGAACTATAACCTCATCTTCGTTATGGGGCCGAAGGACATCGCCGAATCCCGCATCTCGCTCGATATCAGCGGCCAACTCCGGGGAAAGCCGAATGGGAGTGCCGAGAAAACTCGAGAGGTGATCTCCAGCCACTTGGGTGGGGGGGCCCTGGAAAAACCTCGGGGGATTCCACTGCGGGTGGACCGTGTCCACGATCTCTTGGTCCAGTTAGAGAGACGTTTTGTATGATACCTATTACTCATGTAATATATCCGGGGGTGTAATATACAGATGTACGATATCCTGAACCAGATTCTCATGATGAGTCATTTCAGATATATCCTCGGACTTGGGAGAGCCATGGGTAACCCCTGCCTCAGTTAGGCTGCCACGACGAGTTCCATCTAGAGTTTGATCGTGAAGCCTTGGCTTGCATACTAGTTGGTCAGCGTCGTGAAAATTGCCCGAAACATCCATCATCTAATCATTTGTCATCTGTCATGGATTTCACTAAGGTTTTAGCTCCATGGTTGTAGCCCGTTATTTGGCAGGATCCAGAAGAAGCTTTGCATCTCCTTTGGTTCGACCCACCAGATATCGTCGGCCTATCCCTCTCGAGTAACACGTCCGGACCGTCCATTAGCCCTAGAAGTTGGTTTCGACCAACAGCAGCGTAAAATGACAAAGAACAACAGGTACAGAGCCAGGACCAGGCGGAGGAAGTCAGGAAGCCCGGTTTGCCCTACAGGTTTACCTTTTACTAGCTCAGTGCTAGAATCGAATCGGTTTTGGCCCATCCCCACTCCGCTTCCTCGCCCCCCTCGCACTAGTAGGCAACCTGTTGTCTTTCCTCGTGTGTCGGACGAGTGTGATCCTTAATCTCATGGCGTATCGTGCTCGCTTTTTCCACGATCCGCCGCCTTTTTTGTACAAAGTCAATGGTGGTCAAGCCGCATCGTCTAGAGATGGCCGACGCGTCACTGAAAGCCAAACTCCCGCGGAAGAGCGCCTTCTCGTGCGAGGTCTGTCGCAAGCGCAAGGTGGGTTTCCCTCGTGTCTGACTCCATCCTTGTTACCCGAGCTCGGGTGGAATCCGAGATACAAGTCTGTAGGATCCCTCGCTTAGCTTTGTCTGCACATGATGATTGATGACTCGGTGAATGTCTTCAGGTGAAATGCAACGGAGCCAGTCCAGCTTGCTCGCGCTGTGCGGTCCGTGGGGAGCTCTGTGTTTACAGCCTGTTAGTTTGTCCATCTCTTGATTTCCTGCCGAGCTGCCCGACGCTTCCCCGTTCTCTTGGCTTCTCCGACACTGTCTGTCGATCACGGCCAATCTGACCTTTGCTTTCTAGAGCCCCGACATTATCTTATACGAAGCAGTTGGAAGCCCGTGTTGCTCAGCTGGAGAATGCTTTGTCCAAGGTGCATGTCCAGCAGCCATCGGAAACAGATTCCGGCGAGGGTCCCTCGCCTGCCAAGCGCACGAGGAGCCCGGGTTCTCAGACCCCCCTGAGGGATAGACGGCAAAGCAGCGAAGAACTTGCGAGGGATCTTGATGGGCTACAGGTTGAGCATGATGGCCGGATATCCTTCCATGGACCGACCAGCTTGTTCCAACTGCCTGGCGGGGCGCTGAAAGAAACGTCGCCGGCATCCCAGCTTACCACGCCCCTGGAAGGACGAAAGGAACGCCTCGTCAACAATGCCTGGCGTGAGAGAGCTTATGAGCAAATGGCGACCATGCCGGTACGTTATCCCTGATCCGTCCACTGCCATCGAGGAACATATTCCAACACCGTTAATCTTGAACAGGAACCATACCAATACCTCCTCGACTCTCACTGGTGCTGGATCCAACCACTCTTCAACTTCGTCTACCGGCCCGCATTTACGCGTTCGTGTCCGACTCCGTGCTGAAAACAAGCAAGACACTGACCCAAGATAACAGGAGACATGAAGATCAACGGGCCCTACTACTCAGACGCTCTTCTGAACGCGCTCCTCTCTCACTCGGTACGATGGTGCAAAACCGAGCCCCGGATCGGGCCCATCCTCAACTCCTTCGATGGTGGAGCCCAGTTCGCGCATCGAGCTGTCACGGAGCTGTATGACTCGCTCAAAGTGGGGCATGTCGGCATCCCCACAATCCAGACTCTACTCCTTCTCAGTGCCCAGGAGTGTGGGCGGGGGAATAGGACGCAGGCTTGGTTATACAGTGGGATGGCGTTTCGGATGCTGGATGACTTGGGAGTATCGATCGATAGTCTCAAGTACTCGGACTCGGCGAAGCTCAATGATGAGGACGTTGAGATCCGGAACAGGCTGTTCTGGAGCTGTTATTTCTGGGACAAGATGGTCTCCCTTTATTTTGGGAGGTCGCCCACGATGCAGAATTCCAGAGTCAGCCCGCCGCAGACGATACTGGACAACACTGCGGAGATCGAGAACTGGACGCCGCATGGCGTCGTCTTCCCGGATGGCTTCCACTATCCTCCTACTCAAGCCCACTCCACATCTGCTTTTGTGAAGATGTGTGGGCTGGCGGAGATTCTGCACGAGATTCTGGTCCATATCTACGATCCGATCCGACAGGTGTCGGAGATGGAGCTCTACAGCTGCGTCGAGGAGCAGGCGCAGAATCTGGCCGAATGGTGGGAAGAATTGCCAGATTTCCTGAAACTGATAGTTTCGGATCTTCCTCCTTTTTCTCCTCCAGCACATATCGTCATACTAAAGTAAGATAGCTCCTTTGTTTCTCATAAGAAAGGGACATCAATCACTGACGAGACAGCTGCCTATACCACACCATCAACATCCTCCTCCACCGCCCGATCCTCTGCTCTAAATCGAATCGCCCACCCTCCGATAAAAGCCATCTAGTCCAGTGCATGATCTCCGCAACCGCCATCCTATCTCTCTTCGACATGTTCTGCAACACCTTCGGCGACGGCCATGTTGTCCTGTCGCTTGCCTACAGCGTTTACACCGCTGCTTCGATATTCTTGCTCGAGGTCCAGGCTCTGAAGTACGCGGCGCCGGGTACGCTCGAGAAATTGAAGTTTTGCATATACGCCTTGGAGAGGGTTAAGATTTCTAATCCGGGTATGTCTACATATTCATATCGGGTTTATCTCATTATAAATCCTTAGAGCTGACCAAGATATCAGTAATGGCGACAGCCTTAGGCCTGATTTATCGGGAGCTGCAAAAGCTTCAAGTCGATATCAACGTCACACTATCTCCGACGCAGTCAACTCAGCCATTCCAGCCTCAATCGCACTCCCACCAAAGCAACTCCCCTTCCCCACATTTCAACCAACAGCAACAGCAGCAACAGCAACAACGAATCCCCCTCGATCTCTCCAACCCATCCACACACGCCTCTCCCTCTCCCCACCGCCACCTACAACAAACACAACAACAACAACAACACCTCACCGACCCCACACCCCCCCTAGGCCCAGGCCCAATGGTCACCCCAATCGGAGTCCCCCCCGCCACCTCCCTCCTCCCCGAATACACACCCTTCCACCCTCCTCCTCCGCCCCCACCACCAGCGCCAACCCCAGCAGCCAACTTCGACCCCTCCCACACCCGCATCCCCCACATGGCTACAACCCACCTGATAGGAGGGATGCCGAACGCAGTCATGGCGCTGGAAAGCCCCGGCTCGTATGAGATTACGCCCGAGGTGTTCGAGGCATTTTCGTATGCGGAGCCTATTACGACGAATATGACGCAGTTTGAGGAGTCTATGATGTGATATACTATACTGGGTTGTTTATATGCTTTATGTGTGTTTGTGGGATTGCATGGATGGTGTAATCAGGAGCAGGGTGTATAATTCGGAAAGTAATACGTTTGGTGATTCTATACATGTTAAAACATGTTAACATAACTCTTAAGCGAGCCGCCCCTTCTACTCTACATAATCAATGCTTATTATAAGTCCCATAGATAAGTGACTCAAGCTTTGAATGTCTCTGAACATTAAGCTCTTTAAAATTATATAACCTGCTGCTCGATATATACTAGGATTGATTAAACATTTTGAGTACATAACACAAGAATATATATACCACATGGTTTTTTTTATATATGTAAGAAAATAATATGGCCGCCCCCCGTTTCAACGCGTGCGGTACGCTCATGATTCGATGGTTGAGGGAGCCATTATTTGCGAAGAAGGTGGAAAGTTAATTAGTTGGCGGATACAAGAGCCAGGTGACTTTGGGCCTGCAGATGAGCTTGAGGTATTGAATTGAAGCAACAGTGATGTCAATCATTAAGGTTCGTAAATCTTGTCTGTCCGAGCGAAGTTAATGTGTCGTATGTTGAAATATAGATTATGAAAAACGAATGGGAAAGGAAAACCCTATCTCGTCCGCCTCCATTCCAAAAACCGTTCAACACAGGCATAATTTGAGCCCAGAAGAATATTCAACTCCTCCTGAGACCCCTTCTCACCCGGGTTTAGAACCAGTTTTGTAGGCCATGGCTCAACTACTGTGAGCGGTGAATTACATCTCAACCATCGAGGTTACAGAAAGTCAAAGAGATCAGCTAATGCAAGCTATGAATCGATTTCAACGAGTTCCGTGGGGTTTTTCGATGCCTTCCCGATGTTCACTGAGCCGGTTTTTGAACGCCTTCTTCAATGGATTCCACCCGCATTTCCCGTTCCTACATCCGATCACCTTTCAGATGCAGAACTGCGACCCCGAGCTCTTATTGGCGATGGCTGCAATGGGCGCCCAATATCGCTACGAACGTCGCAAAGCGCTCATGTTGTTCGACGCTGCCTTGGCCATTTTGCATGAGCGGCAATACCAGGAAGAGGCGGAAACATTAGCCAACTCCGTCGACTAATCCAGCTCCCAGAATCACAAAGGAAATCGCCTTATATCCCTTATAAGATCTTTGCTTATCCTTGTCATCCTTGCCACTTGGCATGGGAGCCGCAAGAGGCTGAGTGAAGCTCTTAGTCTTCAGAGTCGTTTGGTTCAGCTGAGCTGATTAAAGAGTCGGGTCTTTGTGAGGCTCGTCCCGGCCCTAAACCTCTCAATTGGCACTCTTGGATCGAGCTTGGACCCGCTAGGCGCGTGAGACCGGCCACATTCTGCTTTCGTAATATTCATTCTATTGCTTACAATGTCCCTTCTATTTTCCTCGTCCATGACAGCAACCTGCGTCTTCAGTGTATCTGTCAGGAGTGGCTCGCTCGCGATGAGAACGAATGGACTTCAATCCGGCGAACCGTTCCGAACGAGCAAAGCCTCTTCCTAGACGCCCTGGCGATTCTCCTGGGGCGGTCGGAGAACGCCTCCTGCGTTGAGCCAGGCCAGGGCCCTCTCCGGTGGCCAATTCTGTTCTCCTCCATGGCCTCCCGCAGTATATCTTGATGGCACGACAAAGCCAAATACTCCCCAAAGAGGGCGACATGGTCGACAAAGCACAGATGGAGTCAGTGGATCTCGGCAGTCATCGGCAGTTTGAGACGCGGGGCCCTGAGAAAATCGCTTGGGCTCTGCTACATGCACCTACCGTGCCTCGTCACCGCGCTTCTGCCGGCCCAGCTACATGCCACCCACGCCCTGAGCATCCCGGTCCGATTGGGGATCGATTACGTCGCGCCCAGCCAGGCCTTTGTCTGGAGTATTCAACATGCACTATGTGCCGTCGAATTTGCCATATTTCTCAACAAATGGTTGGACTCGGTGGCCGAGACACATTCAATTCATCCGCTAAGCGGTAAGGGAAAAATCTCGAAGACGAATACCTTCACCTCCATACCCTTCTGTGTTTGCCGCCCAGCAAAACCGACGAAAAGTATCGCGCTTTGATACATTTTAGGCCAAGAAAATAGATTACTAAGATGGATTTATCGAGTGGTACAGGGACGAACCTAGTCCTTGAGATAGTGCTCTAGGCACTACTAACCCCCTCAGCTTGGGAGTAGGCTCAAGAGCTAGAAAGGGGCTATATAGGATGTCCCCTCCCTTACTGACTTCATCTCCCATATCAGCGTTAACAGAGAGATTAATGTCCTGATCCATCACCTCTACCTCCATACAAGGCCTCTTGGCGGTGTTCCTCTTCTTTATCAGGGCATCAGGGTCATCATAGGGCTCCATAGTGAGCTTTTACACCTTCCTTAGGATCGCGACTTCTCCGCCCTCGTAGTCGAAGCTTCAGCATCAACCCCTGCCTCGCTGGCGGGGTGACCGGCAGACTGGCTGGCGGGAATTACTTGACCTACTCGGGACGCTTGTTGCTCCGGAGCTGGAGCAGGTATCCTCCATCCTGAGACTTCGCTCCTTTTGATGGTGGACGGCCCCTTGACCGCTTCTGCTTTACCGGCTGCTTCTGAAGTGCTAACAAAGATATAGGCGCAGCGGTACTGTTTGTCGTCGTACCCGCCTGGGGCCGCGGTGCCCCGGGTGCCACGGCAGGCTGGAATGAGTCCGTGGAGGCGGGCCGTTGGCAGGGAAAGAAGGCAGTTCTAAGGTCTATCAACGCTGAAAAGGCAAGAAAAGAGCCGTCCTATTCTATCGTCCGCCCATATCGATGCGGTAGTGATCGGTCTGCTTTCAGAGAAAGCCCGGTGCAATATAGTCATGGAAAGGTTGGGCTTCCAGGAGGTCAAATGGTTGGGGGGAGGAATTGACTGCCGTCATGGGCAAGGACTCTCTCCCGAGTCCAGTCTAGAACCCGCTTCGGCTATTTCAGCACAGACCATTAGATGACATGGCCTGGGTGCCTACATTAGTGTCAATGCAAACGCCGGCGCACAGGGCACCCGTTCGAGATCATCCAATCATACTATTGGTGACGTCTCCAGGGGTGAGCGCTCACCCAACGTTGGACAATGGTGGGTGATCGCAGATGATCAGCACATCCGTCCATTTCTACCTGGTGATGAACGATTTTGAAACGGCACGAGCACCCTCACTCTGGCCTCTTATCTATTCCACATCTGGCAACGCCACGCGTCTGGTTCCTTGGGAGGCTGGCAACGACCGGAGTTTCACGGTCCTTAAGTTTGAGAAAAGGCCTAGCTGAGGCGCGAAGCCTGGTGGCCTCAGTGGCACAGTCGCTCGAGAATGCTGATGGAATCGCCGGGCAAGCCTTTGAAGAGAAATTGTAGCGCGTCCGATACCGATTGGATAGTCAGTACAAAGCCGCCGGCCCCTCCCGGGTGAGAGCCCCTGGGGAAGACACCTTGGGAATAGTACAGTATTTCATACATTGAAGAATATGAGGAGAGGAATGATGGATGCTAGACTGTATGGATGCCAAACTGGGAGAATTCACTAATTCAATGGTGACATTAAAATAGGCCAAGCATATTGCAGAGTCATGCTCTTCCTGCTCCCTCAAAGTTCGGATTCTGCTTGGCATACCAAGCACAGTTGAAGCATGTTCATTGTGTTGCTCCAACCACGACGACCCTTGAATAGACCGGCTGATATCCCTGGAAACAACATATAATGAGACGCAAAAGAATTGCCCCAGCAACAGCAAACATCTGTTGTACTGAAAGTATAAATAAAGGCAAACATCCTCCCTCTTGATTACAAGTCCTACCTGCCACCGCAAGAATATCGAGACTACATTCCTGCTACGATCAATTTCCCATTCGCGCTCCGCAATGCTATCTAAGTTGACGGTTCTCTTGCTCACCAGTGGCGCTATTGCTACTTCTGAGACTGCAAAGGACCACTGGGGTTGTCCTAGAATTCATATCTTCGGGGCACGCCACACAGGTGCAACAGATGAGTATGGCGGCGCAAAGGAGGTTGTGGAATTGATCCTAGCGTCTAACCCTGGAGCGACGGCCGAACCCATTCGTTACCCTGCTATGGGAGCGTCTAAGGATGAATTCGCATGGTCTGCTCAGCAGGGTGTTAAAGCCGTCACTAGCCAGGTCACTGAATTTGTGGAGGAGTGTCCTGACACTCAAATTGTCCTGGTTGGGTATTCCCAGGTATACTAAGCCCTCTACCTTACCACTAAAATTCTGGCTTCAGTGAACATCTCATCTCTAATACCGTCCTAGGGCGCTGAAATTATGGATGACGCCATGTGTGGTGGCCCTGATCCTACAGTGAACATCAGCAGCACCGAACCTACTATATCTAGTATAGTTGGGTCGCATGTCAAGGCTATGATCTGGATGGGCAATCCCCGTTATACAATTGGTGCGCCTTTTAACCGAGGAACAGCCACCGCATCCGGGGTAAGTTGGAGTTTGAATATAGCAATTAGCCTGCACTAGTATTAATGTTGGAATAGTCCCGGTCTCGGTCTAGAAACATATCCTGCGCCCCATATACAAATATAATCCAGTCATACTGTGATGAGGGAGACAAGTTCTGTACTGACGGCGACTCCGTGGCGATACATGCGAGCTATGCTCCTAAGTACAAACAAGATGCTGTGGACTTTGTTGACATGCAGCTTTCTTAAATCACGGGACTGATATGGGAGCCTTGGAAACACGATGGTGTGTGTCTTTAGGCAGTCATAGAGACAATGAAAGAGAAGAAAAGACTTGTTTGGCGCCTTAGTTCTAGTCTCTATCAAGCTCTTATCTCTATTACACGTATAATATCATGATAGATAAGACATAGAATCTCGATTATCATTCAACAAATTGTTAGAAATCGTTCAAGCATAGCTCTGATGAGGGATTTTGTTAGGCCACGAAGGATCACGCACGCCATCAGTGGAGACCGGCAGAACCAACCATTCTAGCCAAGCAAACACATCATTATATAGCCAGGTATAGTTGTTTAGGACACTGCATAGCGAAATCAATAGGCAAGAAGGATTATCTCTTTTTCTCAGCCCCCGATACCAGGGAAGCGCCTTGCCCGATGCCCATTGAGATCTGCTTTACCTGGTCCGCCTGCTTGTCTCTCGCTTCTCGAGATGATGCAGAGGAGGCTACGAACTAAGGATTGACAATGTGATAGTGGTCACTGTCGTCAACAGCGACGATCATTTGGGGAACAGAGTATCACCCCGCCGCTGACCTCTGGCGCCAATCCTTACTCTCTATCCGTGCCAAGCGCCTCCCACACCTAGTCTATGGTAATGATTTTCTGGTGGCCGGAGCCAATAACCGAGAAATCTAAGCGCTCTCAAATGGGAGTCCAAATTGAACAATCTAAGAACTCCACGCTCTTTTCTTAGAATCCAATTCGATATTCACGATAGCCAATCTTTCTCTCTGCCCCAGCGACAGTATATCCAAAGAATCCTATCCGATTTATGCATGGAGACTTGCCAGCCTAAAGCATACAGGCGACGGGCAACAAGGAAGACCTTCTCAAGAGATACCCCTAAGCAATAGCCAAGTTGTGTAGGGATATAAAATGTCTCACTGAAAGTAGACCACCACGGAATCATTAACCGTTCGAAAGATAGACACTAGCAATAATATCACCTAGCTGTCGCAGAGTCATTGAACCAGGAACCAAATCGTCGACCTGTGTACTGTTCAACGTCACGGTTTGCTGATATTATGGTTGTCCGGTCCATTTCCCAAACTGTGATAGTAAACGGACGTGTTAACGCCTTTCTCCGTGACTGTAACCGACAACCATGTGTGAGCAGTCTTGGTCTTCCTAATGTCACGGTTGGGCCTACCATCCTCGTCAGCTAATCTATTTCCCATGAAAAACGGCAACGAAGGATCACTTACTGGAGATATCGCAGAGTATCCAAGTATGAGCTTGCAGTTTCATGCCATCCGAGAAATTCGAACCACTGTGACACAGCCTGTGCAACTTTTTCATCACTTTGGTCACAAATCGGGAAGTAGGTTCTGACTTCGGGGTAGTTTTGACCAGGACGGATTTCATAGTTCCATGTGAATGGCATTGATGGTGTAATTCTGTCTAGCTCCAGGATGTCCCATAACCTCTTCAAGAGGCCAATATTGCGATCAGTCACCGGCCCGTGAAGCTTCCCTCCAAGCGTACAAACTTCCCTCACCTTGTCCCAGGACCATTGACGGGTAATGACGTAAAGCTTCAGTCGTGATTTGGACGGGTCGACCAAGTCCCAACTGAAGAATCTCACCGGCAGATCAGGGTTGAATGTCTCCATATAATCTAGAACCATATTGACGGCCGCGAAACAATGCATCCGGTCGTCCACCCGCGAAATTGCACGACGAATAAGAGCATGCGGATGCAGTCCAGACGTATGAGCCGCGTATCGGGTCCACATGTACTGTTTAACTACCACATTGCCGTCCTTGAAGTCAAGCCCAAGGATCGTCTGCGACCATGCCTTGGCCTCTCCAACATCTTGCTGGTAGGTCTTCATGCTTTGATCGGGCATGAAGAATTCGCGCGTAAAGTGATGATGGAGTGTGCGATCAAAGCCTTTGAACCCCATGACGGCTAGTCGCGCTACCATACTGTTGACTGTATCAATGTTCAAGGGATCCATATGTGTGCCAGTGGTTTTGCTGATAGGATCGATATTGAACCTAAACACTGGTTTTTCAGCCCCCTGGAAGTTGAGGCTGAACTCAAACCCGACTTCTGTGGTATTCATGCGGGAACGGCGGATAGGTGGGTACGGGCCAAGTGCTGGAATAATCACTTCGCGCATGAAGAGTAGACACTGATACTGCTCATGAATATCCGCACTTGTCATGTTGAGGAACCGTGCAATAAGGGCTCCACTGTCGTTCCACCATTGTCGCTGTGCTTCACAATCAAAGCATGCATACTTGGAAAAAGATTTCCAGACGGTTGTATCCATATTGTTTAAGTCGGGAGCAAGCTGTGCGCCAATATCTTCGGTAGTCCCAGCGTTTCTGGGGGAAACAGTGATCGCGTCTTTTGCCATTTCCGAATCCGTTGAAGGCAGTTTCACTACGGACGCTAGGGAAGGAATAGTGCGTTGCACTCGGGCTTGAAACAGGATTTTAGATGTCATGTGCTAACAAGACGTTGGCTATGTAAAAACTTATATGTACCGCAACACATTGGCAGCATGTTTGGAACGATGCTCTGAGAGAGAGCAGGAAGCACACCTCCACCTCTGATAGCCAATGATTACCCATTCCACCGGAAAAAACACCAAAGTTTTGCAAGGAGGGGAGTAAGGGTAAATAAGAGTAAGTGAGGCCCGGAATGCGCGCTAATGCAAACGCATTCAGACTACTTTGCATTGCTAGGAGCAAGCGTCTCACACAGTCATAGAATACGCTGGGGGGAAGGAATGATTCGAATACGAAGCAGCATTCCGCAGATGCATTTCACATCATTAAGGGGAATAGAGTCCCAGGTGCTCAGTAAGAGGGGAGATACATGAAGCCATGTTCTGAAAGCCTGTATCGTGAAGAAGAATCCGTGAAGTGATTCCTAGATCCATCGTACTGGTTAATGCAGATGGTAATACTGCGGGCTGCCTCAAATAACTTGGGTCGTGCCAAAGTGAGTGTGTCTTGAAATACTGCGTATTCCACCGCTTATTCTGGATGGCTGCAAGGACACGAATCCATCTAAACTATCAAGATAATAAATCTGTTTATACTCAATTTGTGAGCTTTTTTTCGGAGCTTTCTGATCCGGCTTGGTGTCATCCAGCGAGGTGCAGGGACTGCTTTTCTAAGCCAATTTGTATGAGGCGTAAAGTCTCGGTAGTTGATACGAGACGCCTTGTTGGACAGGTAGTCATCAGACAAGATAACTCTATTCTAATTGTCTCTTAATGTAGGATATAGGCTTTCGTCCAAGCAGTGACTTTGCCTTTCAGGTATCGACTTTGGCATTGATAAGAGTGCATCTCTATTCTCTCTCACGTCAGCTGTAAGAAGGGCAATCGGGGGAGTAATGACCATACTATGTTTAAACCCCTCCATTAGAAACCAGGGTGATACAGCCAATCGTTAGCACGGTCCTCAATGATATTATGGTGCTGTACTTTGCCGTTCGCTTCCCTATTGGAGGCCTTGACTGTATGACTGGCTGCTAGATTTACGAACCATTTTCCAAGATATTCCACTGGGACAATCTTCACAACATCACTACGTGGGTTGGATTTTTGTCCGAAGTCGTCAACAATAGATACTTTATTGTAACATAAGGTTTTTATTAAATAAATAAAATAAACATTGACATGTGTAGGTGGCCAAGACATAGTGCCTCGAAAAAAACGAGTGATGAGGATCTTACTGCGTATGAGAACACAAACTAAGAAGCCATAGAAGGATATCAAGGGTGGGTCAACACAATCAGCGTCTGCTGTGCCTTTTGATACATTTTCTGTTTAGCGGTGTGAAGGCTATCTCTATTGGGTTCCGGCCCGTGCATCGACCAGTTCCAGTAGGATCTGTTACTTCATAGAAACTATCATGCCGCTCTTCGAACCTATAGACTGTCGGAAGATGTCGCTGTTGCTTCTTACCATACAGCGGGGATGTTGCCTGCAATCAACACGCACAGTAATCTGAACTAGAAGCCTAAAAGACCGTATCAATTCTATTTGTCAATAAAGTCGCTTCTCACCGAGTTTTGTGCCCGAAGTTACAGCAACTCTTGGGTATATACGCGGCATGCAATAAAGAACCTCTGGTGACTCTTGTGAGCGTGCATTATGCAGGGGGATGGTCCGAACCTCTCAATGTGATCCCCTCTCCTCTGAACCAAAAACCACCCGGGCTCACCTCCAACTGCCACCTGGATAACTAATATGAGAAGCCACACAGTTCTTATAAGCCCTTAATGTAAAAAGATCTTGTTCCTATCAGCGGTTTCAGTTACAGGTATCATTTGGTTTACAGTATAGATCGTGATTAGAACAGTGCCGTGCGCCTCACAAACCAAACGGCGCAGGGAAGTAAAAATGCTGGCTCATCCCATTCACGAGAGACTAGGGTTTATTGTACGTCGATTGATGCGCTCGCGTGAAACCCATTCCTCCTCGCCCTATAGATTGTGCATATCAATGCAGGTTGGGCGCACAGCCAGCACATTGCCAGAAAAAGCGGGGCAGGTTGGCTCATACAGCAGGCCTGGCATAATGTCGAAATCCGATTCCTGAACCATCCGCAATATCCGCTCACGCACAGTGGTGTCTGGCTAACAACCAAGCCTCACTTTAGGTAAAAGTGATCAGGAGAGCACAAATATGTCGACTGTTCGCCCACTAGATACTTCGCATCAGTGTCAATAATCCTTCCTCCTTCCCCTCCTTCAATAACAATCCACGTGACCAAGTCCATCATCATGTCTTCTGATTTGAACATCGCTGCAAAGTCATTCAAAAGTCTACATAAGCCACATCAACCAGTCATCTTGGCCAATGTATACGATGGTATCTCAGCAAAAACCATCGGATCCCTGCCCGCCTCGAAAGCTATCGCAACAGCCAGTTATGCGATTGCCGAAGCCGCCGGCACGGTTGACAAGCAGCTGACACTCGAACAAAATATGAGAGGTGTTGAAGCAATTGCATCCGCAATCAAGGATCTCGGAAAGCCGTTGACCGTCGACATTCAAGACGGATATGGTGAGCAGCTTGGAGACGTAATCAAACGAGTCATTAGTGTTGGTGGCGTCGGTGTCAACCTCGAAGACTATGACAAAGACAACAAGCGATTTTATAGCGCTGCCGATGCCGTCAATAGAATCAAGCTGGTGCTATCTACCGCGAGCGCCCTAGGCGTTCCTGATTTCGTGGTCAATGCAAGGGTCGATCCGCTTCTATATGGCGGCACAATTGAGGAGGTCATCTCGCGCGGCCAGGCATATCTTGCTGCTGGTGCGACAACTATCTTCGTCCTTGGTCCTCTGGAGGGGCCGCATGCTGGATCCCTTACAGAGGAACAGATCAAGCAGCTAGTAGAGGCTTTCGGGGGCCGTTTGAATGTGTCCCTTTTTGGACGATTCACAACCAAGGAAGCTGCGTCCCTCGGTGTTTCCCGTATTAGCATCGGACCCAAGCTTCAGTTTATCGCTTCGGCAGCTTTCCAGGAAGAGGCTGAGCGGCTATTTAACCTTGACTGAGATTATTCAACTATTTTATCTCGCACCTTAGTTTTGTTCGGCGATCATAGTGATTCTTTTAATCTAGGACCCTCAATCAACAGCGAGACAATTGATACGATCGCCAACTAGGCCTTCAATCTATGACTCAATTAGCCTCAATTAGTTCAATGTAGTGTCCACGACCTGCTCGCTGAGTACTCGGAACGTAGGTGGCTGCGTCCTTTTTTTTTTTTTTTTTTGTCTCGATGGATCTGCCGGGGCGTGGTCAGCCACAATTAGCGCTATCGTAGTCAAGAAATATATAGACCCGTAACATGAGGGAAGGATAATATTTCGTGGTAAAGTGGGCTAGGATGATAGTAGATAGCGACAGATAAATGACACTTTCAAGTTGATGCATGATACATTTACGAATCTATGCCGAGATAGATCAGTCGTGAGATTCTGGCGAAGAAAGGCCCTTTCAGCCCTACATAGACCGGGAACTTTTAGACTTTCTATACTTCCCTCCTGCTTTCGTTGGACACGGGTTTTCAAAAAGAAGCCATGCGCCCTCCTCCGAAATGTGACCAAAATGCCATAGCTTATGACTAGATAGCAGAAAAATACCTTCTGCATATATGGCGCAGAAAATCTCCCAGAACGCGCTTAACATCCGTAGTCAAAACTGAATTAGTCCCGCTGAACTAGTCCCGCTGGAATAGTCCCGGGAGGGTGATGTAAAGTTATACGATGCCTGACTTGTGAAGAAACCCGCCTTCTGGCGTTGATGGAAGAATCGATAGCCGTCGAATTCATTGCCACCAGGCCAGATGGACGCATCGAGCTTGTGGGAACCGGAGATCATAATTAGGGTTCCCTGGGTATAATAAGTCCATCCGGGATAAGGACAACCCACGAACAGTCTCCAGATGCAACTGTAGGGTATCCTTTAGGGCACTGTTGAAGATGCCCGCGAGCTCTGAGCTTCTGGGCTTGGATGCCGTCTGTGGACTCACTCCTGATTCATAATTAAGTAGTCAATATGTTTCACGGTCGACATGCGCTTGAAGACGTATTTCGCCCTTGTCGCCGGTCACAGTATATTGCCCTCGATTGACCTAAATGCATAAGAACCGCGCAAGCCACTTCGTTCTTATCCATCGTGGTATATGTAGCGTGAAACATCCACCACCGCCTGCACATAGTCGGAAAACATACCCGGTTGATCTCCCGTGATCGACATTGAAGGAGGAGCGGGAAAGGGCAGATGCCTACTAAACCAGCTTGCTTAAAGCGAAGACTAGTGAGCTACTACAAGGCATGAATGAACTTTCGGTCAAGGACGTCAGAGGTCGGAATCGATAGCCGTTTCCATTTGATAATGTATGAGAATGATATTTCGTAAAAGGTTTGAGGGCTGAGAACACGCATCTCTGTTCAGCATCACCAGCATTGGGACTGCGTTCTAGAGCTGATGCGCGACTTTCACCGGGATACGAAGTAAGAATCCACCGTTATGCATAATTCATACTGTGCTCCGCACGTCAAGATATTATTATTGAGGGCAGATCTTATGACTTTCCTGTTTCCCAGATCCACTTATTTTCCTGACCACAGCAAGTGGAGCAATCTGTCAGCATGGGTAATGTTGGCCGAAGTGACTTGGACCATGAGTAAAGGATTCCTATGCGCCGACTCCCTTACTTCCATCATGTGGGGGAACCTAGAACATTTCAATTGAATCCCTAGCTTCTGTGGCTAGCGGCTTCGCAGGAGAATACAGGGCGCTGATGGTCTCATCGAATACATATGACTAGGGGTTGGGATCAGGTCCCGCTACGGTCCCAACTGAAGTGGTAGATTCTCTGGGCCCTTAGAACAGCAGCATTTCGCATATAAAGAAAACCTAACCTTACCCTATTTGGCGGCCCTAACGCCTTATTATCCCCTAAGTGTAAAGGTTAAGAAACCACTTCTTCATCGAGACCTAGACCTGGGGATTCCACTAGTGGATTAGCTCAATATGTGGTACCGTCTCCCCCCCACCCCTTGCTCAAAAGCATCCAGGCAAATGCCCCTACTGTGTTCACTGCGGTCGTAGATGATAGGTCGCAAATCGGTGGATCGGTGTGATTGCATCGAAGTGGAACCACTAACGTAGAAGCATGCATTTGCCATCCGTCCAGAGAAGCTGGCAACCTCTGTAAGCCCTTGCGTTTCTGGTCATTCTTACCAGAGTAAGACAGCGTGGGCTCACATTCCAAACATTACAGGAACGAATGTAACAATAAGTCGGTCAGCGTCAGTATGACATCCTGTCAGTTAGACACATCATCCATGATCGTCGCGTTCAGTTCCGGATAAGAGGCACACTTCTATGCCGGTAAAATATGGGTCTTTCTGCAATTCTAGCCGAGGGAATATTGGCGAAGCGTTCATAAGTGTAGGAGCATCCCCCGTCAATAATAGTTTGGGTTATATCTTGCAGCCTCATCACTATTACAGACTTTCTGGTGCACAGCCCTTTTCGTCCACGAGCTTGACCATGGCAGAAAGATTCAGTTCGATCCCTATACTAGAGTATGACGATGCGGTATCTCCTACATCGAGACCTAGGTTTCTAAGTGCCCTGAGACATGCTCTCGTTAACGTTGGGTTCTTTTACCTTCGCAATCCCCCGATAGAAGTTGAAGTTCAGGAGGCCCTCGTCCAAAAATCCGCTTCATTCTTCAATCTACCAGTGGCCAAGAAACAGGAGGTGGCTATATCCAATAGTAAACAATTTCGAGGGTACGCTTCTTTGGCAAGTGAAGAAACAGGGATGAAGAGCGATGCACGGGAGACATTTACGGTACGTACAATATGAGATCAGTGCAAAATTGAATATAATCACTAAAAGATATATGACTATGAAGGTCTCCTTCGATTCCCCAGCACCGGGTCCGGATGCGCCAAATTACCACAATCTAATCGGACCGAACCAGGTATATTGTCCTGTCTTTCGATATACATGACTAATGTTTTAACTCTAAATCATAGTGGCCTTCGGAATCCACTGTTCCAAGCTTCCAACAAGCAATCGACACATATATGCATCAGATCCAATCATTAGCAGATGCCTTTGTGGTTCTGATTGCAGAGGCGCTGGAGATAAATCCCATCGTATTCACCAGATTGTTGGAAAAAACTCGTTACATCAACTTTCGGGTCGCTGCTTATCCTTGCCCCAAGGTCTGTGGAGATACAGAAGGGGGGGTCCAAGGTGTCGGCGCTCACAAAGATGGTAGCTTTTTGACCTACCTTTTACAGGGCACAGACCACTCCTGTCTGGAGGTTCAGAACAAAGCTGGGGAGTGGATCACTGCTCCACCTATTGCAAACACGCTGGTCGTGAATATTGGTCGATCACTTGAAAACCTGACTCAGGGAGTTTGTGTTGCTACCACCCACCGTGTCATTCTGCAACCAAGGCACTATTGTCGTGAAGAATCGGATACTTCTGCTGGTCTACGTCTAAGTTTCCCGTTCTTCCAAAGTTTAGGTCTTGATGTTACCAGAGAGGATATGCAAATCGAATTGCCAGATCATATCTTATCCTTACGGGGAGACAAAGGCAATTCAGATGTCAACGCGTTCCTGGCAGAGGTTTACAAGGGCACAATTGGCGAGGCTCTTTTGACAAACTATATAGCCAGCCACGCAGATACAGCGTTGCGATGGTATCCTGAACTTCAAGCCGAGATCCTGGGAAGACAACACAAAGCGGGGCAGCCTGAGGAGTCCAAGGTCAGTGAAAGGGCGTGAACACTTTTATTTTGCTTCGCAATTAGCCCTGATCAGGGTCGCGAGTCGTCAGGTCCGCTTTGACTCAAACCGCAAAGCCCGGTCGAGTATAAACCAATGTGGACAAAAAAAAAATCGGAATCCGAGGTTGATTACCAAAGTTACATTGTTTTGTATTAGTCAGATCGCCCACATAAATTGCCAGATAGGGGCTTTTATACCAATACAGTCGGTTGGCCTAGAGAGGGAGAGTATTATGTCTGACTTGTACTTAGGTCCCCAGGAGCGTCCTGGCGCGGTATCGCCCATGATACTATTGCCCGTGTGGCTGGCTTAAGGTAGTATGTCTCTGTCTCGATTGGCGTGCTGGACTCGCCGTGTCACAGCTCAATTCCACGACGTGGGCCACAACTAGAAAGACGTACCGAGCTACTTTGGAGTTCTTGGCTTCTCCCACCGGGCAATAACACGCCTTGATGGTGTCCGTTCTCCGCTCGCCTGCTGTTTCCCACAAGTCGTGCGAATCATCGACGGCCATTGATCTACAAATTTATACAGTACAAGATCCGGGAACCATTCCATTTTAAAGTGCTCAATTCTTGAGAGTCTTACTCCAGAATGCTTTGATGGAGCCGGGGCTCCGGCCCGAAAACTGGTCCGAGAACCGCTCTATCACCTCAGACCAAGGTCATTCCTCGCCTCTTCTTACCTTTAACAGGAGGTCCCGCTCTTCATATTGATACGACATGCCTTTACAGGAGTTCCCATGAGGTGCCACAGAATTATTTGACTGAGTTAAGTGACATGCTGGCCGTGCTATGCGTTCAGGTAATTCTGAGTCGGATTAGAATAGGTAACATGGCAGTGCGTCTTTAAACAGCCAGGTGAGAAATTGTAAGTATTTATTAACTAATACAGACGTGAAGTGAGAACAAAGTAATGAAAATAAATTCTTCGTTAAGGTGATTAAAAAAGAGTTTCTGACTCGTTTGCGCACTTGCAGTTCTTTACTCAATTCTAGCCACTTTTACTTGCGGGATTTTGACTGTAAGCCGCTGCTTGGTACGTCAAGATGGTTACTAGATGTATGGATTTGTGCTTCGGATTCGTTATTATCAGCAGACACTTGGGCGCATGACCAGTCCGGTAGCGGGTTATCTGAACCAGAGTATCCTTCCTGCTCTTTGTGTGTGTTGAAGTGTCGATGCTGGGCAGGGAGCTCGCGCAGAAGTGGTGGCGGATCAGGATATAGGCAAGTCATCCCGGACAAGTCTGCATGGCCGTCCGCATGAATATGCTGATTTTCATCCTCTATTGCCCAGGGGCCATTATTGGTGAGGATCATCGGGTCGACCGGAATGCCACTTTGTTCGTCCGCCGCTTGGAAACAAACTCTTGCCAAATTTCGTCGGGGTTGGATACGCTGGGTGACGATATGTATCGCGAGGCGTCTGGACAAAAGGGCGCATCAGTTGAGCCATCAAGATCGTCGTGAACATCGCGTGAGGGGGCTAAGTCCGAGGTTGGCGATGGACTAGCCCTGTTTTCCGGGAACTTCCCCAGCTGCTCTGCATGCTCTGCGTGGGCTGACATGGCGGGCATCGTGTCAAAGTGCAGCCTGTGTGACTTCTGGGACGTTGGGGAAGTGACAGAAGGGGCCACGGCACTTGCACGGACGCAAACCTCGGCTGGGGGCCGTGCTGGGAGCTGATGCTTGGGCAGTGGCAGTGCTTTAGGGAGAAATGGCTGAGGAAACCTAACTATGGAGGAGAACTTGGCGATATGAGCATATCCCGCTTGAAGAGACATTCCCAGGTCAAACGGTCTCCCGCGCAGATCCCGCCTTCGAATCATTGATTGGGCATTGAGAGTGGACGTATCCGGGTTTCTGACACTTTGGTATAGCTTCAAGCATGCCTCCTTGTAGAACCGGCTGGTATGCAGGATCTGAGACTCCCAGTTGCCTTTTGGACCAATAGCCTGATTCTCAGTGGTAGGGTTCGTGAATTCAATACCTACCTACCACTGAACCCTTCCGCTTTACATCCCGCATCTCCACCAAGCTTTGTTGAAAAACGGGGTACAATGTTATGTAACATGAGCAAAATCTGCAACCCTCGCGTATCCCAGGATATCAATTATGCTTCTCCTTACCGTAGCAAATTGACAAATCATCGGGTGCTGCCAACCTTGCTTCTGACAGTTTGAGACCCCAGTCAACTAGCGGTGAGTCTTAACTTAAGAATGTATCTCAAGTCCGCCGACAAGGGGCACTAAAAGTTGAAGCACAGAGTTAACAACAAAATCAACATGGCAACAAACAAAAGAGAGAAAAGCCTTCCAGTCCTGCTGGGCAACTTAGGCACGACGATTAAGGAATTGCAGGCTAGCGGGAAATTAACGACAGTTGACGAGTCGGAGAGCCGTATCAAAACACTGCAGCAGCAGTTGGACAGTGCAAACGCAACTGCCGCTACGCAAAAGGCGGAATTGGACGAGGAAAAGATGAAGAATAAAGAGCTTGATAAGATGTTTCGGAAGTTCTGCCGTGATTGGGGAGCTGAGAACGAGCAATTGAAGCTTGAAATCAAGAATTCAACTGAAGGGAACAATAAAATCATAAAAGACAGGGAGAATGAATTACTCAAAAGAGCTGAGAGAGCTGAGAATAATTTCATGAAAATTCAAAGTGACCTTGAGAAACAGAAAATTTCCAATAAGAAGCTCAGAGTGAGCCTGGATGATGCCGAATATCGATTGAAGGAACTTGCAGCTAACACCGGATTGGAAGAAGTTGAATCTTCCATGTAAGACATGTCATGCTATCTTCTGGGGTAATCTCCACACTGACATTTACATGAGCAGCGCCCTTACGAGTTTTCAAGAGGTTGAGACGTGCCTCACGGACCTATGCACGAGATTTTTTGACGCACCCTTGACTGTTTGCGATTCAGTATGCTCTCTGAATGACCACATGGCTGGTTCCACTAGCTGATTTCATCACAGCATGCAAGTTATTCCGAAGAATATGAGGCCCAGCAATCAAAAGCCCTTAGTCCACGTTTGCATGGAGTTGGCCCTCTCTCGCGTTCTGGGTTTGCGTATCCTCGTGCACTGCTGGCGCAATCCAGCATCGCGCAACGGTTGTCTGAGGACATATTCACTCCTACCTGTCTACCCTCACCAACAGGGCGCAAGACTGTGGGAGACGCACTTCATAGTTCAAGAGACCTTTGTCCAAGCCAGAAGGCTATGCTACGCTCGTTTCTTGTTACTGCCTTCAAGTCGGAGGAAGACAGGCTACGCGCTGACATTATAAACACCGCCGTTGCGGATCTTTCTGGAGAGATTGGTGGGCTTTTGCAACCTCAGAAAGTACAGGACTTCGAAGTTGAACTTCGTTCCTTCCTCAATTTGGCAACAAGTGTGTGGAATTCGCTTCGAAAGCATCCCAAGTGGGTCTTAGCAACCTCAGATTGGAGGGCCTACCCCGGGTGTTGGCGGTATAGCGACAAGTATACCCAAGGCTCTCAAAACCAAAAACCACCTTCCCCAAAGCTAGTCCTGTTTCCACAAATAATATGCGACGGAGATGATTCCCCATTCTACGCGGGCATAATTTGGTCCGACGAGAGCCTTAAACCTTCGAGGGCCGTTGATCACCGAGTTCCCGCGTCCAGCACCCCAAGCCCCGAAACTGACACTGACGTTAGTAGCGGGTTAAAAAGGTCTGCCATCACCGTGGGCGGGAGATCACAGTCCGACGATGGGGAACAAGAGCATAGAAGCGAGGTCTCATTGAAGGGGAAGAGTCGCCATCCAACTTTACGCAGAACCCGACTAAATACCTCGGATTCACCGACACCCCAGAAACCTTGATAATTGCGCCAAAATTAACTCCATATAGCAATTCAGAAGACGAGGTCAATGTAGAGGAGAGCTTCTTTTGTTGCGAGTTCAACCAGTAATCAGTAAAATCGTATCGTTAATGCTGTGGCTCATCATAAATCTTAAGAATTGATCCTTTTGCCCTGTCCCCTACTTGATATAGTCCCACACTGTCTACCTTGACTATCACGGCTGGCTTCTTCGCAGGGAAAATTAATCACACTCCCAGACTGCTTTTACTAATCTGTCCACTGTCTAAATCAAGCTATTCTGTTACCAGTAGCGATGCTTTCCTCACGATAAAAGCGTCCAATTTCCCACCAAATTGGCTCAGGTAATATCAGATATTTATCCAGTCATTTTACCCACCAAAGCACAGGAACTGTAAGCCACATATATAGGAGATCTTTTTTGAGTCGAAGACTCTGTGACACTATGTATACATGTTGTTTCTATGACTACGTATAAGGCCTGTGATTCACCCAGTCACGTAACCATCAACGCCTTAACCCCGTCCTAGGACTTATGTTTATATCTACTTCGCCATCGCCCCCCTCTCAAAACGAACCTCACCATCCCCAACCCCCTCCCCGTCCCCCCGATCACAGTGCTTCAACCCCCCAGCCCACCGCATATACCACACTCCCTCAAACACCTCCCCCATCCTCTCAACCGGCGCGCCCCTCGTCTCCGGCATCCACACCCCCAAAACAAACAACCCCACAAAGCAAACACACGCCCAAAAGACATACGCGCCCCATACCCGCAACTCAACAAACATATTCGGCGTGACGCGCACAACCGCGAACTGAAAAAACCAGTGCAGCGACATGCTGAGCCCGTAGCTGATGTTGCGGATGCGTGTTGGGAAGATCTCGGTTCCGTAGAGGTAGGGGATTGTGCAGAGGCCGATCGACCAGCCGATTGCGTAGATGAATATAGAGAGTATTGCTGCTGTGGAGGCGGGTTTATTCTGGGGATGGTGGGGGTGGTGGGTTGATGTTGATGATGGGGTGAGACCCATGTAGGCGGCCATGTAGATGTGTGCTGCGAGTTGGAGAGTAAGGCCTGTGAGGGCGCAGCGTCGACGCCCGATGTAGTCGATTAGACCCCATGTGAACGCCATCGTGAAGACCAGCTTGACGATGCCGTAGACGCCGGAGGATATGAGAGCCTGCTCTGTTCCGACTACGCCTGCGTACTCGAAGATAGTGTCCATGTAGTATGTGATGCCGTTTCCACCTGTCCATTGGGCGATGGTTTGCATGGTCATTAGGAGCCAGAAACGCTGGCGGTAGTTGGGGTTGGACTGGGTTTCTTTGAGGGCGGCCCAGTGGGAGACTGGGGTGGATTGGGCGCGCAGATGGTGGTTTATGGAGGTGAATTCGGATTCCACTGCTGGGTCGGTGGTGGCTTTGCCGCGAAGGAGAGCGAGGGATGTGCGTGCTTCTTCATGTTTTTGCTTGGAGAGCAGGTATCGGGGGGTTTCAGGGATGTTGAATGAGGCGAGGAAGGCTAGGCCGACTGGGATTAGGGGGATAGATTGGACGAGGCGGTATTGGGTGCGTGTAGAAGACATGTGTAGCCTGGCGCCGTAGTTGATGAAGAAGCCTTTCTATAGTTAGAATGAGTTTGATTGAGAGGGGAGGTGATGGACATACCCAGGGCAAGGACTGCCAGCAATATCACCATGTATACACTGACAACCAAGCCCCTAGTCCTTGCAGGGGCTATAAACCTGTTAGAACAATCTTTGGGGCAACTGTCAAAAAACTCACCTATCTCAGACAAATACAATGGCGCAATGACAGTCAAAGCACCAGTCCCCAGCCCACTCCATATCCTCGCAACCAGCAACAGGCCATACATCCCAGATGAGAAAACCTGAACCAGTAACCCAGTAGCCCACACCACGACAGCGACACGCCACGAGTACAACCGACCAATACGGTCATTCAGTTGCAAAGTGAACAAAGCACCGAACGCCGCGCCTAGCACATTGAACGAGGTGATATTGGCCTTGCGGTCTGCCAAGCCAGTTTGGTCACCCTTCCAATAGGAAGGGTCGAGGTTGTAATCCGCAAGGAAGGAGTCTAGTTTGACGCTGGCGCTGAACCCGCCTTCGTCGTAGCCTGTATAAATTCAAGACCACGGTTAGAAAAGTGGGGAGAATATCTGATGTCAGTAGAAACTAACCCTTTGGGATACTGCCGCACGCAATGGTCAAGATGACTAGAGCGTAGAAGGGATGGGTGGTCCATCGTGACCTGTCCAATGCCCAACCCATGGGCGCGTGAGCCCTCAAGGGGTGGAAGACCTTGGATATCACCTATAGTAGCGGCTTGGCTGGTGAACAATAGAAATGGCCCGAAATGGAAACTCCAAATTGAGTCAGTTGTCAGTGGAGGGCAGGGTGGACCTGAGGTGAGATGCTAGATGTGGGTCCAAGGTTGTGGTAAAAGTTTATCAAGCCGTGTGTGGGAAATGCTTTTCCACATGAGCTCACATGATTTTTTTTCCTCTAGACTTTACTTCTTTCCTTTGGGCGACTTATGCTTTGGCTTATGATATATATCAAATCTGCTAATGGAAATTGGTTAAGGCTGGCATACCAAACTCGACGACTATACATTATCATGGTTCTGTAAAAGCAAGCCCATACACTCTAGAACAGCCAGTACACCAGGCATGCTGACCAGCACATTGAGAGGATTTTGAATTGACTGATATCTCCAATTTTATATCAAAATTACACAATAGGTCTGAAAAATACTACGCTTATAGAGCTTCAGCAGTGGTATGCAGTGAAAAACAATATATCTTCATATAATCTTCTTTATCCCTGACACAACATAACGGCAGACAATATATTGACTCGCCCTCTACGGCCAGAACCATTCCAACTATACTATATCAGCATCCCGCCGCTTCTTCCAGCCGTATAAAACATGACCAGTAAAAATACACCGAATCATTCCAAGCACAGAGAGATTTCACTCATCAGCCGCCGTCTCCAACTGCGCGACAGTAGTGCAAATGTACTTCGGGCCCTAAAAGTCAAAAAAGACACACGATTAGCCCAGCTCTAAACCACACTCAAGAATAGAACCAAGGAAAAGATCAAGGGGAAATAGGAAGAAACATACAACAGTATAACAGCACACAGGCTTCGTCCCATCCTTACACTTCACAATAACATGCTCATCATCGAGTTGCTCGCCTGTATTCAGAAAAGAAAAACACACGTTAGCATTGTCCCATCCATCGGTCTCAAGCATAATAGCATAGATAATAAGGTAGGAAAGTCATACATTTATCACCCATCATCCCTTTGTCGTTGTTTCGTGCCGGCACCAGGTCGGAGCAGCAGTACGGCTGCTGGATGAATTTGGTGTTGTCTGCGGCGAGGTCGCAGAAGTAGTCTATGAAGGGATTGCGGGCGAGTGCTGTTGCTGAGAGGAGGGATGCTGCGAGGAGGGAGAGGAGATGCATCTTGTTTGTTGGTGGCTTTGGTTGTTTTTTGAAAGAGAACGTGTGGTGAGGGTAGTGGCTGGGTTGGAGATAGATCGAGTTGGGTTTGGGGGAAAGCTCGGTTGGGAGGATTTTATCTCTGTACCTGCGTCCTGGCTGCGAAGGAGGCCTGTCTAGGGGGTGGCTACGCTGTCTAGGTGCGTATGTTGTCGTGTTTCGGATGGTGTGGTTGGTTGAGTTGGGGGATATCCCTTGCTTTGGGCCTCGAGAGCATGCCTGGCATCTTCACTGTAAACATGCCAGAATGGATCGATCCGGGGTGGATGTATGTGCAGACGGAAAACTCCGTGTGGTCGATCTATTAGCCTGCACGTGTTTTCTCTGGGGACTTAATGTAGTCTCATTCTTTCAGGGTTGGGTGAATCAACCAGTGAGATAGTAAATGCTATTGCATCGATAGCTCCCCTGGGTGATCCCTTGGCTCGAATTAAGTTTCTTGTCGATCATCAACCCTTCCATTACCCTCTAGTCATACTCCGCGGAGGTCTTCTCACAAAATAGATAGATTAATTTCTATGGTGAAATATCACCCTATAACACAATGTACCGAATAGAACAACTTCAGCAACTTCAGCACTTCAACAATTCCCCACTTCACTACTCACAGCACCTTCACCTCAGTGTCCTTGGTGAGCTCCAAGCGCTGCTTAACACTAGCAGTCTTCACACCAGTATGCTTGTGAGCCCCATACACCTTGATATCATCCACAACAGCCTTGATGTCACCCTCGAACTTGCCCTTGACGTGGAGGGTGCCCTTCTCGTAAGTGAACTCAACCTCCAGCGTAGCTTCCTGCTCCAGGGAATCACCATCGTCGAGATAAAGGCTACCCGAGGCCTTGCCGTCCAGACCGGGCGCGATGATCAGCTCGAAGTTCTTCTTGCGCAGCTCCGTGGTGGTCATCGCGCTGGACGAGCGCACGGGGATGATGCTGCCGCCGCGGATGTGCAGCGGGATGTGCGTGATGTCGATGTCTTCAAGCGTGATGTTGGCGCCTTGGCCGACGACGGGCGCGCCCGTGTACCAATCGTAGAAGATGTCCTTGGGGAAATACGCCTCGACGGAGGTAGCACCCTCGTCGGGAACGGGGCTGACGAGGAGAGCATCGCCGTAGAAGAACTGCAGGTCGTTGGAGAAGGTGTTCTTGTCTTCCGGGTACAGGTAGAAAAACGGCTGCAGGAAGGGCTCGCCCGTCTGCGACTGGCGGTAGAACGACGTGTAGATGTAGTCCAGAAGGCGGTAGCGGATGTCGATCGCCTTGCGCGCCGACTCGGCGACCTTGGGCCAGCGGTAGAACTCCTGCGCGATGCTGTCGAGGCCGTTGTGGTTGCGGTAGAAGCTGTAGAACGCGCCCAGGGCGGCCCATCGCGAGCAGAGCTCTTCGGTGGTGTTGGCGCCAAATCCGCACACGTCTGCGCCCACCATGGGGACTTGGAACATCGAGGCGAATGCCGTGATCTGGGCGATTGAGCGGCGGTATTGCCACCATTCGCTGAGGTTGTCGCCTAGCCTGTTGACGAGTCAGTAAGATGCTGGCTCATGGGGTAGTAGAAGCCACTCACCAGTGTCCAACGTCCTTACCCGCGCCGGCAAACGTGCTGCGCGTGATGATCAGGGGTCGCCGGCCCGGACGGCGGGACTCCATCGCTTCCCTTGATGCGCTGCTCATCACTGGAAAGGGTCAGTTATGGCCAATTCTGGTGTTGTGTTCCACTTACTCGCTCCGTAGAGGTTGTGCGTGTCATACTCGGAGTACTCTTCGCCCTCGTGGATAATATCCGTATGGATAGTCAAGTTGCTAAGAACTCCGGCCACGTTGTCGATCTTGTATGCCGGGTTCAGCAGGTCACGGCCGGGAAGGCCAAGCTTATTGCCTTTGGTGCTATCCCGTCGAACCTTGGAGGACGGCTGGAAGTCTTTCGGGAAGCCGGGCAGTGGGCGAGGGTTACTCGGCCGCACCGGGGGCGGGGCCGGCGGCAGGTCTGCCTCCTCAGCATAGGCGAAGGGATCCGAGCAGGGGAACGGGCAAAAGTTGGCGCCCTCATTCATATCGATCCACAAGCCGTCAATATCCACGCCGTCCTCTGCGCTGAAAAAGTCGCCAAATTGCTCGTTCCAGTATTCTTGAGTGCCCTCCTTGAACCAATCGGGGAAGGCGGTCACACCAGGCCACACGGCGCCTACAATGCATTAGTATGGATATGTGGTAGGAGTGACCTGTAAGTTCATACCCAAGAAAAGGTCGCCCGTTGAGTTCTTGAGGAAAATATCCTGCTCGACACCCCTCTTGTATCCAACGTTGTCTGTCGGTCGTCAGTGTTGCCCGGCATAAGTTGATACCTGTCTCCACGTACCGCTAACGCTCACCGCCGGATCGACCATGACAATGTATTTCTGGTCGTGGTCGTGGAGGTAATCCACGACCGAACGCACGTTGTCAAGGGCGTACCGCTCGTCATCGAGCGTGAACACCCGTCTTCCGCTCATGTAGTCAATGTCCGTCCACATAGTCTCCAGCGGGATCTCGGCCTTGCTGTAGTTGTACACCACTTCTGCGACCTCGAAGATATCCCGGTATCCGTAACGGCAGTTATGGTACTTGAATTGCAGTCAGCGTCGAGCGGGTGGGAGAAAAGTCCAAGGAGCCAAACTTACACCGAACGCCCAGTAGCTCTGCATGGCGGGAAGGCCCACAATTTCGGAGTACTGAATGCTGGCCTCCTTGGGGGTGTCTCCGGTGAAAAAGTAGAAATCGAAAACACCGCCCAGAGAGTTGTACTCGAGGTATTGCTTGCCGTCCTCGGTCTGGTCGATCTTGACGTCCATCCCGTTGGAGTTCAACAAGAAGACACCATGAGTACCAGCCTCGCCGCGATGGTCGTAGTATACCGGGTGAGTACCGTAGAGATTGGTGCCCTCGGGAGTACCGTAAGCATCGCGGTTCCAGAAAGTCTGAGAGTAATTGGTGGTCGGCAGACGCAGAGGGCCAATATGCTCGCCCAGTCCATACAGATTAGGGTTCTTGGGGAGCGATGTACGCAGGTTCAGATACTGCGACTGGAAGATAAGGGTCGAGTCGCTCGTATCGAAGAGGATTTCTTGCCCTCTAGTGACGGTGAACGAGAAGGGATTCTCCTCATAGTGGAACTTCAACTCCGAGTCCTGGCGGGTGCTATCGACTCCCTCGATGCGAGGGACAACCGACTCCGGGACCTGGTAAACTTGCTCGTCGGCGTCATAGATCATGACATGGAGACGTTCATCTAAAGACGCCCATGAGTACATTAAGAAGCGACGGGTGGATCAAAATGCGGGGTTTTTACCAGACTGGTATTCCACCAGAAGCTTCAGGTCCTTCAAATCCTTGCCGTAGGTGTCGCAGGGTTTGCCAGCGAGAGTCAGATCGGCCGTCAGAGAGTTGTGTTTCTCGTGGATATTGGAGAGATAGTATCCCGGGCAATCGCTCTGGTCCTTCGAGCGGGAACCAAGCACGGCGGCCCCCGCAGCCAGGGGCGCCAGCAAGAGCATTGATACTCTCATTGTACCGCGTGATTTGAGGTTCACGGTGTGGTGAATTGGTGTGGATGTCAACCAGACTGAGAACTGGCGACCGGGAAACCCATGAAGTATTTATGCCAGACGTCGGTCGGGGAAGAGACTTGGCACAGACCACAAGTCTAATTGAGTTCAAAATAAATTAAAAATGAGACGTCGGCTACATTCCAGAAGGGGGGCGCATGCAGCACGACGGAGCTCGGCAGCGGGGGAATAGATGCAATAATCGGAGATTGTGCTGAGGCGGGGACATTGGTCAGATCGGACGGTGTCTCAAGACATGGGTACGGGTCCCTCCGCTAAGGCCCTAGTGGACTAGCAGGGACGCACGACACCCCGTGGGATATTAGCATTGAAACTAGGACGGACGCTGACGCCACGGACGTGGTCGAGAGACTGCCGAGCATGTCATCTCGGTCATTTGTCGGACTTGCAGCCAGCCCGTTTCCCACTCCCAAGACTGCCAATATATCGCGGTCTGCCCGTTTGGGGTTGGTTGACTTGGCTCGATCTTTGATATCACGATGAAAGTGAGACGGAGGCGCAGACGGAGTAATCATCGAATCGGATGGCCGAGTTTGGGGGAGGATATTGAGTGGTTTTGACATATGAGGTACAATGGTATGATGTGTGTATACTAGACGTGTATGGAGATAGGTATGAAAGTAGATGAGGGGATAGACGGGGATGGAGGGACAATGCAACACAACTTGGCACTAGAAACAATAATTGCCCCATTATTGTCGGGGTCGCCAACCCACTATCCCGAACCCGGTAAGGTCCTTGATAACGTAGTATTCTAGAGTGTGGAGTAGTTGTCCGACCTTAGTGTCTGAACTTGATCACCTCATGAAATTCCATGGGTAGAATGATCTAGAAGTGAGGAATTGTCGGATGTCGCTTCCTAGAATTGTTTACATCGAGGATTGTAATGGGCGCTTGACGCATATACCAATGTATACTAGCGCTTAGGAAAGGTCATACATATGTCCCTAAGAGAGTAGTTAGCGATGATGTTGAACAGTATTCAAGGTAATTGAAAGAGGACAACGAGTAAGCGTTGAATAGCGAATAAGCCAGCTGGTTGGGTTGATTATTGATTGTTAGCCCTGCTGGATGTGATCTCACATTATTGGTAGACTCATAACCACCCTGAAGACTATCCGTACATCCAGGGACCTCATGAGGTACTGGATACAGGGTTCCAGCTCAGTAGCCGAAGTACTTACCATTTTAGGCAGTATTTCCAGCAGCCCGGGATATGAATCTGTGAACCAGTCGGAGAGCTATTGGGGCCGTCCATGGGGCCATAGCCGAATATACTCCGTACCGGGGGAACCTTAGGCAGTCTGCTATTCTTACTACCGTTCTTTCTCTTCCTTCTATCTACCCCTTCCTTCGGTTCTATGATCCTGAGTGGAGACAATCGTCGGTGCCAATCGTCGGTTTGCGCGGACGCGGAGTTGTTTGGCGTCGGAGATATTGGCGTGGAGCAGTGGTCTTGGCAGCATCTCTCAGGATTCTGGAATGTTATGGATTCTTGTGCGTGGGATTTGAACCTGGACTTTTGAAAGAGCGCGGGGATGTGTAGCCAGTTGTAACTGGCAACTGGCGAGAGGATGGAACGCGTTAAACGGTATAGGAATAGTTTCTTTTTTCTTTTTTACTACTACTCTTGGCGTTGATGTACTCTGCAGGGTCCCAGGCGGCGATTTAGTCGACTACAATGTGAAGGCCTTTTTCTCCCTCTCTCAGTCTGTGTTTCACTCATTTTGCTCACTGATTGATACCAGTCCATAGTATTCCGCGGGCTATACACTTACCACATCCCATCAGCCTAGATAACCCTAAAGCCACTGCAGTCAATATGGAAATTATGTTCTTCAATACAAGAAAGCTCCCCATGACTCGCAATTACCATATTTGATAGACCCTTATTTAATTCTGAACAGTTGCGTCTACTGGGGCACTGAGGACAAAAAGGGGACATTGACCGTCGCTTCTTGCAAGCTTTCTTCATGTTTCTGCGCTGTCGGTCATGCATTTTCCAAGGCCGGTTATCTCGTCCCACCAGGGCACTGTTCTACTGTGAATCCCATTCCACCCAGTTAGTTGGTTGACGTAGGCTAGGTGAGCCTCGAAATCTGCAGAGACCATCTAGCAGTGGGATGATGTTTTCGTGGAACAGAGAGTTACATTCAAAAGCAGGGCATTAACGATGCGTATCAGTCTCACAGAAAGACTCATTCGGGAACCCACAGCAATCTCAATCTCTCATGGTCGTGTGCGGTACCGTCGACAACCATGTCAGACCAAGACTAACGGCGTTGAAGCTGTCGTGGACGGTGGAGAGTACAACGATGTACAGTACATCATGTTTAAAATGACGTGGCGTGGATCCAAGTGGAGGTGCATCTTTTGTCTATCGAAGGCGAAGTGTGAGAATACAGTGATGGATTCTGTCACTAATAATGTACTTACCATAGCCCCCATTTGGGCTGTTCTTTCTAAACAAGTCACGCCTTTGACTCTTGTTGCAAGTTAACTATGCTGATATATGGTTGCTATTATTAAAAAGTCGGTCAAGCTCTGTCACCTAGTACCTACAAGAAACACCCAATTTGTTCATCATTCATGCAAACTAATTGTAAAGCAACTGGCTTTCCTGGATCAGATTCACTAGCCTAGTCCTTCACTTCTAAGGCGGCGCAAGTCTACCTATATCTATAATCATTTCTAGTATCTAAGAAGTGACCAATATAAGTAAGTGAATATATTACCTGTGGTCATATGACTGAATTATTAAATATTACTATATGATCACTCTGCATTACAACATATCACCATGGTGAGACACGTCACAGTGCTCTTAATCTAGTACCAAAAAACTCAAGAAAAGCTATCTTTCCCAGAAATGCAAGTTAACGTAGTGTCGTAGTGTCTTACATTAATCCGAGGATGGGCTCTACACTCAGCTTGGCTTTTCACACAGTGGGGGAGTACGTGATCAAAATTTCGAACTGAAGGTACAGTAGCGCAGCCAGGTGATCCGGATACACGTAATAACAGCGGAACTGAGAAAAAGATTAGGCTTTGGCACTACTAGTTGACTCCTTTGAAATCCGGCTGGTATGTTCTTGGTTATGTATGTGCTTGGGATGGGCCTTGCCAGGGATAAAGAAACTGAAAATCATGCTCCCGAGCCAGGAGGTCTTAAAGCTAAATGAGGAGCTTAAGTGATGATGAAAACCATATAATTACAAATGCTATGCCACAGTAAAAGGTTACTTACAAGTGGAAAAGTGTCATGATATCTTTTGTAGCCAAGTGGTACCTCCTTTCCTCATACTAGTACTAGCGGATCAAAAGGATAAATACAAAAAGCAAGAAGCAGGACAACTATCAAGAAGGCGCTTTTCCATCTAGTAATGCTGGGCACTAAGGCTGATCGCTAGAAGAATTGGGCCTAGTTTGGACATGGCAGAGGCATCGTTAATGTTCCAGGGACCAAATTGATGCATCACCATGAAAGGATCGCTGCTCATATCCCCGGTCTGGAGATAGTTGATGTAATCATTGCTGTACTTAGCGACAGAGATATAGATCTCCTGCCTATCTTGTGATATAATAGTACGACTGCCATCTGCCGAGTCAGTGCTACTTCGGGGTTGAGTAATAAATGATAGTCGAAACGTTCACTTACGGCTTCTTCCGACATGCGGGGACTGATGACTTGTAGTCTTCCAGTAAGCCAGCCACCATCTGATGACTCTCTTGTATGCGAATCTGCGGTTCTTTTGTCTGCCTGAGTACCGGCTTAACTTCTATGATAGCCTTGATATCCTCACTGCGATCGGCAAGGTAGCCGTCCGTCCTTGCTTGGAAATTTGCGTTGGTAAATTCCGCCGTCAAAGGCTTTCGGTGCGGAGACCAGCCAACAGAAAGGTCGAAGTGGAGTGTGATAGAATCAAGAAAGACCAGGAGAGCTGTATTTACAATCTGCTCATCTTTCGTTGGGGGGTACATGAATTCATCATCGGGGCTGACAGTACTGTAGCGAGATGGAGGCAGCGACGAAGAACCTAGGTAACTCGTATCTTCCTCGTCATCAACGCGGGGTGTTTCGAAACCCTGGATGGGCTTCGGAGGAGGAGTCGCGGCGGTAAAGTCCGGTTGGCGGATCGAAGGCTGTGCGGCTTGCGTCTTGGAACGAGTCATGTGAACTTTGGGAGTGAAGACAACACTGCCGGTAATATAATCCTGTTTTGTTTTAGAAACTTCCAGTTGATAATGACGGGCTGGTGCAAATGTCCCTTCGGGGATCGAGCCCGTGAAACTTTGGCAGTATTTCTTCCATGAGGGAAGATTCTCCAACTTCTCGCTGGCTTTTGGCAGCCAATGGTTCAAGTCGAGGAAAGACGGTAATCTAGAGATGGCATTGACTTTCCAAAGCACTCGGAGTAGTAGGAATTGCTCCCTGAAGACATGTGAAGCCGACTTCAACTGGATATCATGGATGGTTTGGGTGCCAGTCCCAAAAGGTCAACTTGCTCCTGCCATTCCTTATGTGTCTCTGGGACGGGCGTGGATGGGTCAATCATGTTGAAAAATGGTGTGTTTTATCGCAGAGAACAGAGTGGATCGTAAAGGAAAGAAAGTTGGCGAAGGAGGACACCACTACCTATGATTATGGTCCCAGAGAAAACAGGGCCTTTTATGCAAACGTGTAGTTAGATGACTTGGGCCGCTCTTGCATGAACACTCCTCTTCAAGTAAGCCATACTCAGCAACATAACATGCCGTATGAGTACTAGGAAGATTTGCAGCACCACTGTTTCTCCATATCACTCAATCGGCCTTGTTGTCTGGTGGTTTACCTGGCCCGACTCCTGTGACTGAGCGCCTCCTTGACCAATAGACATGATATTTTGAAGCTGGTTGTCACAATTAGTAAGTGACTAATACGAAGACTCGTGCATGGCGCTTTACTTGTGACAGCTCACGATGCTTCGTGGCCATTGAAGATACCAAACAAAGAGAATGAGGATGAGGCCATTGAGGCCTGGACCTGCAGGTGGTGAGGCAGGGCTGTGGCAGCGGCAACGGGGATCGACTTTGATTGGCTCTGAACCCGTCGCGGGGCAACGCTGGGAGGTTTCCACCCACCATCAGTGAAGATCATCAACCCAGAGCTTTGGCCACACCCCTTCATGCTGCATCATTAGGCTAGTCGCAAGCATTTAAGACTACAGTTCTTCTCTTTATCTCAAAGTGGACAGACCCTGTCATAGTATTCGTTTTCTTCTACTTGCCATTCATACCTAAATCATGGCCATGGATCCCGTCGAGCCTCGCGATCGATATAATCTCCGCAAGGCACTCACCATCATGGAAAGGGACATCAAAGCCTTGGAAAAGGATACTCTTATCTTGGATCAAAGCGTGCTGAAACGGTACCGAGTTCAAGTCCTACCCCTGAGTCTTGATGCCAATGACTCGCTTGCACCAAAGTTTTTCACTTCTTTTGCTCCCAAAGACATGCCAGAGCCAACAGAGGAATATGTTGGCAGAGAATACGACAATGACCTTGTAACTCTGTCCAACGAATATGGGCGACTGATCTCCATTTACCTCAAGTCTTACGTTGGCGAGTTGGTTTTTCACTTCCCAGAGGTCTCACGAACGTGGCTACGTTATCAGTAAGTCCCCAGTACTACTCCTTATCCAAATATTCCTTTACTCATCGTGTCTCCAGGATTGGCGATTATAATTTTGGCGATGATATTCTATACCGAGTTTACGAGCCTGAATTTGGCACATTGGATATACGTCACGTCTCTGATGGCTCCAAGCCGCATATTAAATGCATCATGCACAACGACATTGATGTAGATGATAGTCATCTTCTTTATGGGGAACTATTAACTGTCATCCACATCATGTTGGGTCAACTGAAGTTGAAGGAGTTTGTTAACGATATGGTTGCACCGGTACCTCTACCTCCTTCTGAGCATCCTCAACACAAAAAGCTGATTATGATGTCAGGTCCTACTCTTTTCTCTGAATCAACAGCATCCACGTGTCATTGAAGCATACTTTGATGGGCAGGAGCTGTTGGTGCGCCGCACTAACCGCTATGATTTTACGTTCTTGAATGAATCTGGGTTTAAGACCTTTGCACAATGGTTGATGGGCGATCCTATTGGTGATACGTCAAGAAATGCGGTCCGGATTTGATGGGTTGATCTTGGGTTAAGGGTCTCTGGGATATGGCGTTTTCGGGGCTTTGTAATGTCTTTGCGAGTTAATGGTCAAGGTAGCATCTGGGACGGGCTTTTTACACTATTTAATTACTGTATCAATGCAGAAAGAGTATCCTCAAACGGTTCTCACTAACGATAGAGAGATGATTAAGATATAGCTATATCATAGAAGCCATCTGCCCAGTTTAGTAAGCTATCTAGCATAAGGGCCAAGTGGGTATCTCAGTCATGTCTTTCACTTTCTTGACGCGATAGTCATATACACATAATCTAAAGTTCCCCGTCTCCCTTTGATTTGTCTACAAACTACACTATCGTGGCGCCGTATAATTGGGGTAGTTCAAGTCTGGGTCTTGCATTATTTGATACCCTCAATGCTTTATTTTAACAGATCCAGGGGAGTACTACTGCGGCCGGAATGTAGCTTAGAACCAGGAGATGACCCAGGAGATCACCTTGGCTGATTAAATTGAAAGTTTCCCACACTATATGTATCTTGACTTGTCTTGCAATCTTGCAGCCTTTTGCAACTTTTTCATAATCATCAATATCGTCATAATTTACCGTTTTACGTTGTTCCTCGCACAGATCCAAATCTCAAAGTCAAGGCCAGTTGCGTCCATGTCTGATTAGGTTTTACGATCAGTCCAGCGCTGGCCAGCGCTAATTCTAGTGTTCTCTCGGCGAATTGTCATGCAGAAATTCTTTGGGTAAAATAAGAAACAATTGGCAATGCAAACTACATGAATTATAGTCCCCCATAGGCCCATAGGGGTTATAATCACGGGTATTTAACTCGGGAGACAATCTAAGCAGTCCGACTTGAGGAGGAGTATTCTCTCCAAGGTACGCAAGCTTCCACAATGACCACTGCATATCATTTACCATCTGCACGGGAATCACCAGCTCCATGGTACGAAGACGCAGCCGTTATGTGCAACATATAGGCCATGACGACCATAATCACCGATGCCTGCGCAACAATAACATTAGACTAATTACGGTCCATTCAATTTGAGGAGACGAGGAACGTACCAGCGAAACATCCAACCCCCTTGTAACTTGAACCTCCCATTCCAGCTCGGTGGGAGATACATGCCCATTCGTTCTCAGGGCCGTCATGACCAACGCCCCCTTGAAGTAGACATGCGTTTTAGACCTTGACAAATCCTGCCCGCGAACTTTGAGCTTTACTTCCTCCCCGTCCCCCGCAGAATTCCTCACGTAGACATCCAACTTGTTCTTAAGCGGGTTCCATCTCGGAGCGATCGCAGCTATCGACTCCGATGTGTCCTTCCCACCCGGAAGATGGACAAACCACGTCACGCCAGACTTCTTCAGCGCGAGCTCGAAAAGTGGAAGGCTTGAAGCATCGCGGAAATAGCGGTATTGAGTAAACGGTGCAGACTCCCTGTCGATGACGAATAGTTTTCTCTCTTCCGGGCTCTTGTTGCTACCGTCTAACTCTTTCCATACTGTGATGTCTTCGTCGGCGCTGTTCTTGGATTTCTTATGTTGCTTGACATAGATGGTTGTTGGGTAGGACGCAATGTACTCGTTGCGGATGGCAATGGGTTGTTTGAGGTCGGTTAACTCTTCCATTGTTGTGTGTGTTATGTCTCGTGGTATGGATATGTAGCCCTGGAAGTTGCTGTTCACACATGAACAAGTATCACCAACTTTGTTTGATGGTATCATTAAAGACAGCGTCAGGCTATTTTTATGGCACTAACCAAAAGTCTCCCGCGGTCCGCCCGTGCTTCATATCCCGCCTCTCTGCGGAGTATTTCCCTGGGGATGAGGGGCTTTTCTCTCACCGTTGAAAGTCCATGTACGTCATATACCAAATAAAACCCTAGTGGGGTAGAATATTTTGAAATAAAGACTGTAAGCATTAACACGCGCGGCGCCCTGTCCGGGCTCGAAACAGTTAAGTATTCTTTACCGCTAGTGTATTCGGCCCCCAAACGGAGCATCTAGCCGCGAGTCAGACGCATGAAGTTACCATGGACAAATAGGCGTGAGTCTACAGCCAACTAAGCACAGGCCACACGTATTGGGTCGGATCGGGATGTCGAGCGGTTGGCGAAGCAATCGGGCTAGGCATATAGGGCTGCGGGTCGGCTCCGCCACGCCCCACGGCCCGAACAAAGCCCTAACCGGATTTCGCCCGACCCCATCTCTAGACGTTATTGCAATATGTACGAGAGATTTGATCGATTTGATGGAAGGTTCAAATCTATATGGGTTCTTAATATTCCTGCAAGGATCCTTCACTGGAATAGGAGGCGGTTGCTAGAGCAAGTTAAGCGAACAAATCACTGCCTGTCAGTTGTTTGACCGTCAAACGGGACTATATTAAGGGCCGTCTATTGCGACACGTGCGACTGGTAGAAGAAGAACAAAAATGCATATTATTAGTCAATAGTAAAAGAGTGACATGCAGACGACAGGAGTAACATGAAAGACAAAACAATGCACACGAACACATCAAAAGCATGCAGATCCAGAATCGGAGCGCTTCATGAAAAGATCATGTCAGACAAAAAGCAAAAACATGAAAAATATCAGAATTGCATAAAATCTGTCAGATCAGCGCAGAGAGAATACTGGCTTTCACTACATGAGATCCTTGGTCTTGAGGGCTTCACCAAGCTGCTTCAAGTCATTCTGTGCCAGGCCGTGATACTCAAGGCTTGCCGACCTAATAGGGACATGGACGGTTCCTTTATTCTGGGTGGGATTGCCGGTAAGCACGGTAGCAAGAACCATGCAAGCCGGAGGGACACTGTCAACTCGCACGCCTATCCGGATTAGTATGGATTGATACCGGAAAAGCACGAGGTAAGCGCTTATGGCGTAGACTTACTATCGGGAAGATGGCCGGACAACTTCACTTGGGCACCGTCTATCTGGCCCTGCCACAGATCGAAAGACTCTTGCCTTACGCCAGGAGGCAGGTAGGCACGCTGGTTGCCTCTGGGGATGTGGCCAACCCCGCCAGTAATTGCTCCGCCCGCCATGCCTCTCATGACACTATCGGCTGCCGCAATTGCTCCGGCCAGCATGCCAGCAAAGGCTCCTAGTCCTGCAGCAAACAAAGCTGAGCGGCACTGCATCGTGAAGAAGATAGCTTCAACTGTAAGAGCGGCAAGGGCGGAAGCACGCATTTTGATGTTCGAGGTAGGGGTAAAGAGAAATTAGATAGATATATAAGAGCTTAAGAGGAAAAAGACATATAACTGAGTAATGGGCTCTTTGGTGGTAGAATAACTCTGAAGAGTATGCTGGTTTGAATGATCTTGACCTGGGGAAACAACATGCCTTTTATATCTTGCCGCAACGGCATCAGAGGGATACATCCGCCATTTCTCTTCACATGAAGTCACCATATTGCCCAACTCTGATGCCCTTGACGGCTTTTTTTTCGGGACTATTACAATAAAACCAGTGATAGTCAAATGCTACCCCTACGCCAATCACCCCTCAGTTGTTCTTTGAGATCACCGTCCCATTGGCCCTCATGCTACGTGAAGAAGCGAGATGCCGCATTACTTGTCTAGCTCATGCGCTGGTCACCCGGCAAACTATGTGGTGTGGCTATTGGAAAGATATCTTCTGGATTTTGATTAACGCCGTCGCTACGGTTGGGGAGACGGCGGTGACCAAGTTGTGGATGCAAATCGGTCACAATACACAAGAGTATACGGGCAGAGCTCGCAAGCTGTATCAGCTGCTGGGCACACTGTGTGTTTGCGTTTTCCTTTTGGAGTGTTCCTAAGTGGGAGTATGGGAAGATATACTGTGTTGCTCACAAAATGCAGACATGAAGGGCAAGGCTATCAGGTGCTGGTGTTATATATGTATTTATATTTTTTTCGCTCTCATCCAGACTCTTGAAGCGACGTAGCTACTGAGATCAAAGTGTTTGCGGAAATCTGATTAAAGATTATATAACTTCATAAAATTTGATTATACATCATTAATCCTGATGTTTGGAGGGCAAGGCTGCCAATAACAACGTTACTTGTTACCATTAACCCCATTAGTTGGGGCTTATATCTGGCCCCCAAAGCCTCAAGCGCACTATAAATGCAGCTTTCCTCCCACTAAATTTAGACGGCTGTGCTCGTACATTCTACATATTTTCAACCACGATTCCCTTGAAAATGCATACTCGGAAGATTATAGGCCTATGTTTAAGGCTTTCACTCGCTCTAACGGTTCCTCTCATGTTTTGGAAAGCGTTGACAATCATCACCGGCTCCACGCATCCCATAATAGTGGTCATTTCAGAGTCAATGTCCCCGGCCTTCAACCGCGGCGATATTTTATTCCTAAGGAATAGACAATCCTGGATCCAAGTCGGCGAGATTCCAGTTATCTGGTTCAAGGGACTACCGCTTCCACTGGTCCACCGTGCTGTTCGAACGGTGGTTCTAGATACCATGAGGTAAGAGCCACGTATTCAGCGGATTTGACATCAATGGATACTACTAGTACTACTGCGGAGGGTTGGAACTAAGCGATATCGATCCTAGGCAAGGTATCATGACGAAGGGTGACAATAATGTCGTGGACGACACATTGCTCTACCCTGCTGGCAAGGAGTTTGTTGATCGTGAAGAGATTATTGGAGTTGTCAAGGGATCTATTCCTTGGCTAGGCTGGGTGGCTATATTGCTGCAAAATTATCCACAAATTATGCAATTGGGAGGGGGTGCTTTACTGCTAGGGATTACTCTGTTCACCTAATAGATTGGTACTTAAATGGTCGTGTGTGGTGTCAGGTCATAATGGTCTCTACCCAGCGCTTTCATAAAACAAAGGAATATTCGGCAATAGAGTCTATAAGTCAGCATGTAAGAAACTTTAATGTGAGAGATAATCCAATTATTGCTCCGAAAATCAAAGACTACTTAAAGAAATATATCAGAGACTAGAACTTGGCGCTGTTATATACGCTAGGGTTAAACTTGACCACATAGTTGTGGTGGAAGAACCGATAGAAACAGTTATACCTGCGGGTGCGAGATATTGTAAAGGACATCAACTATTTTTAACTTGAAAACATTCATAGACATTGTCACAGTGTTGGCTAACTGGGTCACATACATTGAAAGCACTTCCCAGGAGTGATCTTTCTGCTCTTACAAAAAATTCATCAATTCCGTGGAATCTGAAGACAGTAGTGATCAGACACTACTGCCGAAGGTAGTAGAACAGATTTATGAAATAGTTCCATGTTGTTCCTGAACAAAGTGAGCCTGGCATCATACTCAAAAGAAGTCGTATTGCCAGAAGTTATTCTGAACATAAAGTGTCGTACTGGATATAGGGTTACTGAGAAGGCTCAAATGTGTCATGATATCTTTTGTTGCCGAGTAATTTCTTAATGCAACTTAAAGTTTATCTTGTTTCAGACTTCTATTCTGTTGAAAACTGCAAAAACATATTTAGATGGGCATCTTACAGTGTCACGTTCGTTGTTTACCATGACTTCCTTGCATTATGACTCTGCATGATTAAGGTGTCTATCAAATTATATTGAACACGGCAAAATTGTTTCTTCCATTGCATTGGATGTTTACTTGACTGGCCCCCCTACTTAGTGCAGTGACAGTTTACTATACCAGAGGCTCAAAGACCACTGTAAAAATTGCGCTCTACCTGAGGCTGTCACCTACTATAAGATATCCAAGACTTCCCCTTGTTTATTAGGTAATTGAGCTAAACGTCCTATGTAAATTATTCCCAAAAGAAAAATCGACCTACAAAATTGTTGAGGATTCTCTAGAATTATTTTGGGGGGTACCGCCACATCTGCCACATACTTCTGAGCACAATGTTTATATGCCTTTGTTTTATTAGGTGGCTCGGGATCACAGGCTTAATTATAGTGGCGGTGTAAGGTTGTACTGTTTTATTTGATTAATTGCCAGTTTTAGTGTGAAGTGATGAAAATATCATATCAACTGAGAAGATAGAGTGCATAATCTATCAACAAAGTCAATATAACAACAAGACGGTTCTAGTATAAAAGTTCCAATCAAGGGTTTGCAGCGTGAACATGAACACACTGTGGGGCGGTCAGTGAGAAAATGCCGGGTGAGGAGATCTCTGCACGTGATCTGATTACCTGAGGCGCCATTCCCTGAACTTCCCGAAATCAAATCCTATCTCAGTCGAGTCCATCTCTCTGCAATTGCACGACGACTCTGTGTCCCTGGCTCTTGACCTACCTTCCATTGGACTCCCGTGTCCTGTCTCTCGACTCATTTCCCTCTTTTCACACTTTTCCATTTTTCAGAGGTCTCAAGATGCCCGCCACGGCGTCCCGTGCAGTGCTCCGGCAATCGCAGTTCCTCGTTCGGAGGACTGCCGTGAGGCACGCCTCCTCCACCTCCGAGAAGGCCGGTGAGGCTGCGCAGTCCGCTGCCTCCAAGGCCTCCGATGGTCTCTCTCGTGTCTCTTCTGCCGCCGGTCCCGCCCTGTCTGGCGCTGCCCAGTCGCTCAGAAAGATTGGCGGCCGGACCGGAAAGGTCATCTCTTTCGTCGACTGTAAGCCGACCCTTCTTTCTCTACTTTCTGTTCATAGCAGTCTCCCGTTCTACTTCTCTTGATATCGGTCATTCGATGAAAGTGAAGGACATCGGGGTGATGAATCTGTTCATCGGCTGTGTGCTGTGTGTTGCAGGCCATCCCCTGCCTGCCCTTTTTCCATCTTTTTTCGTCCATCATTGCTAACCACATCGTACTGGACAGCCATGATACCCCCCACTCTTTACTACTCGAAAGTCGGCCTTGAGCTGGCCAGACTCGTCTTCCGTGGCCAGAACATGAGCCCCCCGTGAGTGTCTGCGAAGACCGCAACCATAAACCATCCGCTAACTGGCAACTTGCTCGGCAGGAACTTGGTCACTTTCCAGTCGTACTTCCAGCCTCTGATCAACGGCTTCCGCAACCCTGCGACCCTGAAGAACGCCAACTTCGTATCACCCGGCGACATCCTGGCCCGTGTCCGCGGCGCCAGCAAGAAGGAGATCGCCCTGGCGGGTGTGACCGCCGCCGAGGTCATCGGTTTCTTCACTGTCGGCGAGATGATCGGCCGCATGAACATTGTCGGCTACCGGGGCCACGCTGAGCACCACGGCGACCACTAAATCAAGCGTGATTGAGTAGTCGTGCTGGCCCCGTCTTGTTCCTTCCCCCGCTTTCCTTTAGTCATTTCTTCCCCTTTCTATTTCCCTTGTGTCCTGTACTATTGTATGATAGACGATGGAATATAACTATTGTCTGAGGTTATTTTGGAGATCTCTGGGTATCTGGTTGTCTTATTATGACTGGGTTCTCGAGGGATCCGGCGAGCGAGGGCTGTGTGTGGAGGTTGGCATGGAGTTGCCTGTACTATCAGGAAATAGACCTTTCCTTTGTTTCTACGCAACGTGTACGAAGTGCTGTTTGCACGGTTCTCTGTAAACCTGTAAGAAATGTAGTCGCAAGTATGAAGTTACAGGCCATTCACATCGAGAAAACGACTATCCCCATGGCAGTTGTACCCATAAATCAAGTAGCAGAGTGCAAACTCTACTAAAAAAAAAACAATTGTATACAATACACTATCTAATATATCAAGAAAAATGGGCTGCACTGCTCAAACGCTGTCCAAAGATCAAAGTTGATGCTCGCGGACACTGATTGGTCCGTGCGGAAAAGAATTTCAATGTCGGAGTGACATTTTTTTTCTGCCCTGCTAAAAATACTGCCGTCCGCAATCACTACCAGTCGACTCTATGCGACATTAATTAATGACAACTTCCTACTAGAGATTATCAACCGGAGTAGTCGACCATTATCTGCGCCGAATCGTTTGGGTTCCAAGACCCCCACCGGTTTTGTAAGATGGATGCGTTCAAGCTTCTGACGCGCTCCACCAAACTGAAAACAGGCCGTGCGACGCCGTCTACAACTACGTCCACCCTCCCGTCCAAAGGCAAGGCCGCCAACCCGCAGCTTTTTCAGAACTCCGAAGCAGACAAGCTCCTACACGGTACGAAGCGAAAGAGAAACGGTGATTCCAAAGCGCGCGACGCAGACGACGCCCATGACGCCGAGTTAGACTTTTTCGGTTCGGGGAAGCCCTCGTCGGCGAAGAAAGAAAAGATCGACGAACCGCCGTCTGACGAGGAGGATGCCGCCTCAGGGTCCGATAATGAAGCCGGCGACGCTATAGATGATGTGCAGTGTCGGACGATCTTGAATGCGCACAAGATTAAGGTCACTGATATGCGCGATTTCGAGGACATTCAGCCCGCGCGGCCGGCTGAGGAGCCCAAGAAGAAAAAGAAGAAGAGCAAGCAGAAAGAGGAAACTCCCCGCACGCTCACTAAAAAGGAACAGAAGAATGCCCGGCGGTTATTCCCGCAGCCGCTGGTGTCGTTCAAGGAGCTGCGGTCCAAGTATCGCATTTCGCGCCGCCTGGCGGAGAATGTCGCGGAGCAGGGGTTTTCGGTCCCGACGGAGGTGCAGCTGGGTACTTTGCCGCTTTTGTTGGGTGACGGTGCTACTGCGCAGGTTTCTGGGACTGGGGAGCCTGTTGAGCCGGATTTGCTGGTCGTTGCGCCTACGGGGAGCGGCAAGACGCTCGCTTTCCTGATCCCGGCCATCAACAAAGTCGTGCGACATCACCATGAACGCTCGGAAGAACGGGGCATTCTCTCTGTCGTTGTGGCTCCGACTAAGGAGCTTGCCAGCCAGATTGTGAACGAAGGGCGCAAGCTCGTCCAGGGAACTGGCGTGAAGATCACGCTGATGAAAAAGGGTATGCAGGTGGTGGAGAGTGATGGGGATGGTGAAGATATTCTCAAAGAGGACAGCTCCGAATCGGAAGAATCCGAAGACGATGAGAAGCCGGAGAAGAAGACCAAGGCGAAAGCTGCCGTCACGAAAAGCGACATCCTGGTCACGACACCGCTGCAACTGGTTAATGCGCTCTCCGCCCACCAGACCAAACCGGTAGCCGCGCTGCCGCTGGTGCGGAGTCTGATCTTGGATGAAGCCGATGTTCTCCTAGATCCCCTGTTTCGCGACCAAACCCTCGATATCTGGCGCGCATGCACACATCCTGAGCTCCGCGCAAGTCTCTGGTCCGCCACGATGGGGTCAAACATCGAGGATCTGACCAAGTCGACCATCGCGGAGCGCAAAGAGGCATCTGGCGCTACCACATCTTACCCGTTTATCCGTCTCGTCGTCGGCTTGAAAGACTCGGCCATCCCCAACATCCAACACAAACTGATCTACGCTGCCACGGAGCAGGGCAAACTGCTGGGCTTAAGACAGCTCCTTCACCCAGCGGCAGCGTCAGCAACCGACGTCCGCCTCCGTCCTCCATTCCTCATCTTCACCCAAACCATCCAACGAGCAGTCGCCCTGCACTCCGAACTGCGCTACGACATCCCCGTCGAAGCCGGCGGCTCGTCCCGTATTGCCGTCCTCCACTCCGACCTCTCCGACGGCCAGCGATCAGACATCATGAAAGGATTCCGCAAAGGCGAAATCTGGATCCTAGTCACCACGGACCTGCTGGCGCGCGGGGTCGACTTCCGCGGCATCAACGGTGTCGTCAACTACGATATCCCCACCTCCGCGGCAGCCTACGTCCACCGCGTCGGCCGCACGGGTCGCGCTGGACGAGAAGGCGGCATCGCAGTGACATACTATACCAAGGAGGATATTCCGTACGTCAAGAGCATCGCCAACATCATCGACGCTAGTGAGAAGCTGCGCGGCACGGAGGGCGAGAAGTCCGTGCAGAAGTGGCTGCTCGACTCACTGCCGGACCTCAGCAAGAAGAGTCGGAAGGAGTTGAAAAAGCATGGCGTCAAGGCCCGGCAGACCCAGTCCACGGGCGACGACGACAAGCAGCGCGCCAAGTCTCGAATCAGTACGAAGAGTGGCTTTGAGCGGCGCATGGAGAACAACAAGAAGGCTGCTATCGCGGCTAGTCGCAGCCGGAAATCCCAGAACCAGGGTGTCACGGATAAGGACAGTGGCGACGAGTGGAGCGGGTTAGACGATTAGGTGTTTCGTCCTGTACAGTGCACAGAAAGAGATGGAAAGGCTAGAGCTTACGAAGACGCCCTAAACATATTACGAATTCCCAATTCTTTTCAATATCATTATCATAATCCCATCATTTCATAACGTTATAATCATCATCACCACCATCGCGTCCTTCCCCATCCCATCCCCTAACCACCCCCTACGCCGACGGCACCTCAATCAACCTCCTCCTAAACACAACCGGTGCAAACCGATTCTCCAACTTCCCCTGCTCCTCCAGCACCCTCTCCAACTCATCCCCATCACGATCAAAATACAAAGCCCACCCCCCACCATCCTCCTCCACCGCGAAAAAACTCTTCTTATCCTCCAGCGTCACCGTCCGCTCCTCGTCCGTCCAGTCCCACGGCGCAGGAATCTGCATTACGCTGTCCGTCCGGTTCCCGAACTTCAGCTCGTGCGTGTCCTTGTTGACGTAGATCCAGCCCAGCATGGGCGGATTGTCTGATATAGATGTTACCAGGCCGAGTCCGCGCTTTAGGTGCTTCGTTTCTTCAAGCTCGGGGTATTCGATGTAGAATGTGGTCGCTGTGTGGGAGGGGACTGTTGGGTCGGAGAGGTAGACCTTTGGAATATTGTTAGTTTTGTACATATTCATCGTCATACATATAACAGCTTCAAGCCAAGAACAGGGGGATAGCGCGGCGAAATCAACTATACATACCTTCTGATCAGCCCGTAGTACCAATCTCCGTCCCTGTACCTCGTCATCTTCCTCCGTCTGCGCACCGTCTCTGCACTCCACGTCGATGTGGAACTTGGCCATGCGTCGCGCGTCGTTCTTGCGCTCGTTGGCCTTGCGCTGCTCGCTGACGCCCATCGCGCAGCCCGTCACCGTCGGTATGGCTGTTAGTGTGAGGAGGCCTATGACCATGATGCCGGTTGGTGTAGTCTTCTTGCTTTGTGGAGGATATGTATGTCGTTGGATAGTGTATTCTTTGGAATGTGCGTCTGGAGATATATCGCGGGGATAAATACAGAGTCGACGTGAGTTATTCAAGATTATATGGGAAATAATGTATAAAGTGGAGTGTTGGAATGTTTCATGCATGTTCAAGCCGCTCAATAAATTGCCATGCTGGGTGGCGTCGCATGTCTGCCTGAGGCACGCGCATTTCATCATGAGGCGTTCGTTTCATGGGACTGACCACCTGATCTCTTCATACTTCGACAACCCCTCTTCTTGATATATCTTCGTTACACATGTTGTTCTGCCATAGCAATTATAAACTAGATGCACTAATGCCTTCTTGACTAACAATTTTGAATGATAGGTTCTATTCTAGTATTCTATCAATCTAGTCCTTCTTTCTATCGTGTATCGTTGACCTCGTGAAATCATAGTGAGCGGCCGAAAAAAAAAGGAAAAACCATCTAAAGCTTCTCGCTCCATCCCCAAACAGACCACCAGCATTTAACAGCCAGAGCCCCGCCATCCGCCGTCTCCCAATCATCGTACCCGACCTCCTCTCCCTCCTCGACGACCGCGAGCCCCAGCTCGCGCATCAGCTCCCGGAACTCCCTCCGCTGCGGCACGTACGCATCGCGCAGCGGCATCTCGACGACGACCCGCGCGTCGAGCCCGCGACTAAGCCAGTGGCCGATCGTGTTCACCAACCACCGCGGATGACTAGGCGAGTACAGCGGGTCCGCCACCAGGATGACATCGTACTGGTCGTCTGCTGTGGGATACGGGTCGGGGTCAACGGACCAGTCGAGCACGCCCGTCGTAACGGTGGCGTCTGTTTTCGCCAACATCTCCACGTTGAGCGCGACGTTGTGCGCGAGATTGGGCACGATCACGGGAAGATCTGTCAGATGCACTGTGGCTGAGTGTCCGCGGATGGCGGCGAGGCTGAGGCCTACCAGGCCTGTTCCTGCGCCGAGCTCGAGGACGCGCAGCGTGCGGTCGCCGCTGGTCTTGGGCGTTGTAGATGTTGTAGGAACCAGCTGCGGTGCGGGCTCGAGGAGAGAGTGCAGGCGCTGGGAGAGCAGGTACGACGACACCCACGTCTTCATGCCCAGGTTGTCGGCTGTTAGGGAGGGCTCGTGCAGCGTGAGGGTGAGTTCTTCGCCCCATGGGCTGGGGACTGTGAATACGCGGGACATGGAAGGCATTGCTATAGGCAACGATATGTTAGACCGTGATAACACACTCCATCGCCCGGTGCGGAACAAAAGATGAAGGTGGTGTATGGTGGGTACCTGTTCGCCCTGACCGCTCGCTCAGTCTCGCACCCGTTGCATCCCAAACCGCCTCGCGGAGCTCATCGGTCTCCAACCATGATAACGGACTCGAAATGATAGACGTCAGATACCGAGTGACGCCCGCCGGCAGGACAGTCTGGGCCTTTTCCGGCTCGTCAGCAGCTCGGGTAGTGAAACTGCGTGGTTTGATCGCTAGGACGTCTAGGGCGCGGAGGAGTTCGGTGCCGGACGGTTTGGTGTAGATTTGGGGGAGGTCGAGCACTGCGATCTTATCAGTACCATTATCGCTCCCACTATCGTAGAGTAAGCAGCGCACATACCGTGAAGTGGCTCGCTGGGATCGGCACTGATCATGGCGGTGAGGCTTGGAAGGAGTCAATCGGGGTGGATGAAGGTTGTTGAGTATGGAGAGGTAAACACGCCCACTGTCGTCTTGATATGAATAGCCACGGGGCCCCGTGGCAAAACGGCGCCTGGCACTTATGCCGGCGGATAAGGAAAAAATATGCAAAAGAAAAAAAAAAGTCGTGATTTCCCAAACGGGAAAGGTCAGCGCGCGGCGTTCCGTGGTCGGCTCCGCTGCGGCCCAAAGATCCGATCTCCTTCGGTTTCTAGCATAAGTTTAAAGACGTTGAATTCATGTGGGATTATCTTCTGTATTGCAACTATTATACACATATACAAAATCATGGTAGGGTATTAGTAGACTCCGCATAACTCCAGGTATCAAGAACAAAAGGCTCCCTCCATATAAAGGACGACAGTTAACCCAACGTCGACTTGAACCCTTGATAAGCCTGCTCAATATCAAATGCCAACTCTCGCGCCTGCTCCTCGCTCAACTCCTCCGTCGCCCGCATCTGGTTCAGTGTAATCAGCCACTGGATGATCTTGCCCCGGTTCTCGAAATCCCCGTCCGTCACCTTGTTGACCGACTGGATGACCTCGCTCAGCAGCGGGTGCAGCGCATCCTTCGACACCATGTTCAGCTTCAGCGCATCCAGGAAAGTGATGAAATTCTCCGTAGCCGTGAGAATCAGACTACCGGATGTGCCGCCCACGGTGCCCGACGCTGAAGGCCCGATCGCCGCGGTGGGGGCGCTGTGCGTGGCTTGCTCGACTGTCGCCGGGAGACCGATGCGGAGGCGTTCGGTAGCGCGGGGGCATTCCAACTAGAGGTTGTTATGAGCTACCACTCTTGAAGTCGTAACGGAGGGGTTCTCTTTCTCGCTACGAATTTGGGAAGTGAAGAGGAAGACATACCCCCCATGTCCGCTTGAACGTCTCCAGGTCATCGAATTCGCGGGCGACGGTATCATCGCCCAGACTCGACTTGTACTGCTTCAGGAGCCGGGTACAGGTCTCCGTGTATTCGGCCTCCGTCACGACATCTTTGATATAGGCTTTCTCGAGGCCGTCGAGTGTGATGATGATGCTGTATATTTCTGCTAATGACTCGTACAGGTCGCGCTGTGCTGAGCTGGATGCGAGTTTGACTTCCTGCGGGGCAGTGAGCGGAGGACAGACGTAATAAGAGACTAGACAAGTCGTACCTCGTCGAGATTGATGGAGGCCGACCGGGCCGGGTTCGGGGTGTAGCTGTAGGGAGTAGGGGCATATGCCAGGGGGCGTTGGGTGTACATCACGCAAGATGGAGTCCAATAAAACAAATCAACCCTCCACTATCAACGAGATAGAAGCCGGTGATAGCGAGTAGATAAAGCAAACGACTGCAGAAGAAGGCGGAGAGCCAAAGGCGGTCACCCGATCGGGCGGATCGGCTCCGCCTTTTTCTGCCGCGGACCCTTCGATTTTTTTTTTTTTTCGGACTTTTCTCTCCGCCTAAAGAAATCGCATTCCCCGTCCCAGTCCATACATCTCATTCCCCTATCCCTATCCACCCGATTGTATGATTCCCTTGCTGTCCGGGTGAACGGATAGCTATTTGACAATCATGGCTGGTACTCAAAAGAAATCCACCAAGAAATTTGAAAAGAAACACCTCAAGGATACCCTCGAGCGACGAAAGGCCCACGCCAAGGTCAAGCAACGCAACCACCTCAAGGAGAAGCGCAAAGCGGAAAATGCCCGGTCGCGAGGAGACGATCAAGAGGACGCAGGTGACGCCAGTGAAGACGATGAGAAGAAGAATTCCTTCTCCGAGATGAACGTCGACGACTTCTTCGCCGGCGGCTTCGACATCGCAGATAGCACGCCCGATCAGGCCAAGAAGGGCAAGTCGAAGAAGGACGTCACGCCCAAGATCGGGAAACGAAAGCGATCCGAGGAACAGAAGGGTGATGAGGAAGCGTCTAGCGGTGCGGAGGAAGACGACGATGAGGCCGCAGACTCTGATGCTAGCGGATCCGATGGGATCGAGGAGCACTTGGGTCAGCTAGAGGCTTTGAAGGAGAAGGATCCTGCATTCTACAAATATCTGAAAGAGAACGACGCGGAGCTTCTCGACTTCGGCGACCATGGTGACCTGTCGGAGGTTGATGAGCTGAGCGAAGGCGAGGAGGAAGCCCCGGCGAAGAAGAAGAAGAAGGCCGTGCAGGAGGAGGAGATGGAGACGGACAATACGCTGACCATCCCGATGGTCAAGAAGTGGCAGAAGTTGATGGAGGAGCAACATTCGATCCGCGCCATGCGGCAGACCGTCCTGGCCTTCCGCGCTGCGGCATACCTCAACGATGCCGACCAGCAGGAGCAGAAATATTCCATCTCGGATCCTGATGTGTACCACCAGGTGCTTGTCACGGCCCTCGGCACTGTGCCGCGCGTGCTTGCACACCACCTCCCCGTCAAGGAGTCAGCCTCCGGCAAGGTGAGAGTGTCGCTGGACTCGAGGAAGTTCAAGACGCTCACCCCGCTCATCAAATCGTACGTCTCGTCGGTGCACGAGCTACTCAGCAGACTGTCGGACGCCCAGACGCTCAAGCTGACGCTCTCCGCCATCGAGCCCATGCTGCCCTACCTCCTCCAGTTCCGCAAGCTGCTCAAGGTGCTCGTCAAGACGGTGGTGGGTATCTGGTCCGACGTCGCTACCACCGACGTTACCCGCATCACGGGCTTCCTGCTCCTGCGCCGGTTGATGATCATCGGCGACGCGGGCATCAGGGAAGCCGTGCTCAAGACAACCTACGAGGGCGTCATCAAGGGCAGCCGCAACACGACGGTGCACACCCTCGCCGGCGTGAACCTGATGAAGAACTCCGCCGCAGAGCTGTGGGGCATCGACCAGAACGTCTCCTACACAGCAGGCTTCAACTTCATCCGCCAGCTCGCCATGCACCTCCGCAGCAGCATCACCCACCCCTCCAAGGACTCCTACAAGACCATCTACAACTGGCAATACGTGCACTCGCTGGACTTCTGGTCCCGCGTCCTCTCGCAACACTGCGACGGCCTCGTCGAAGCCCAAGCCGGCAAACAATCCGCCATGCGCCCGCTGATCTACCCCGTCGTGCAGATCACCCTCGGCGCCATGCGCCTCATCCCCACAGCGCAATACCTCCCGCTGCGCTTCCAGCTCGTCCGGGCCCTCCTGCGTCTCTCCCGCTCCACAGGAACCTACATCCCCCTGGCCTCCGCCCTCATCGAAGTCCTGCAACTCACCGAGATGCGCAAGTCGCCCAAATCCAGCACCCTGCGCCAGCTCGACTTCTCGACGACCATCCGCGCGCCCAAATCCTACCTCCGCACCCGCGTCTACCAGGACGGCCTCGGCGAGCAGGTCACCGAGCTGCTCTCGGAGTTCTTCGTCCTCTGGACCAAGCACATCGCCTTCCCGGAACTGTCCGTGCCCGTCGTCGTCGCGCTCAAGCGCTGGCTCAAGCAGGTCAGCGCGCGCGCCTCAGGCAACAAGAACACAAAGGTCAACCAGATGGTGCTGCTGCTCATCCAGAAGGTGGAGGCCAACTCGCGCTTCATCGAGGAGCGCCGCGCGTCCGTCTCTTACGCCCCGCGCAACCGCGCCGAGGTCGAGACCTTCCTCAAGGACCTCCCCTGGGAGTCGACGCCGCTCGGCGCGTTCGTCAAGTCCCAGCGGAAGCTGCGGGAGGAGCGCGCTGCTGTGTTGGAGAAGGGACGACGCGAGGATGAGCGCCGTCGGGCAGCTGATAAGGAGGACGATGAGGACGAGGCGATGATTGATGGGTTTAGTGGTAGTGAGGATGGGGAGGGCGATGAGCAGGCTGGTTCGTCTGATGGTGAGAATGAGGAGGAGGAAGAGGAGGAGGAGTTGGAGAGTGAGGATGAGGATGAGGGGGAGTTTGAGATGGAAGATGAGTAGAGGTAGACCGACACTTTTCTGTTGATTCCCTATTTGTGTTTGATTCCCTGTGGTTTGTGGGGTACGTTTATTTATATGTTATATTGTCAATATAAAAGTTGGACTTGAATTTCTCGTGGTGGACTTGCACACATGTTTGTGTTGAGCTCGGTGTAGGATTATCGACTTTTGATTTATTGAAGGTTGGCGTGCTGTGGATAAGTGATTGCAATCGTCGTCTGACTGCGAATGAAGTCTCTGCCAATTCTTCATATACTCTTCTTGTAATATGCTTGCCTCTTCATACATTTGCAAATGTGCAATCCTGATTTAGAACTCTGAGATCTTGATGGATTCCATTAATCTTGTGCACACACGCAAACTCGATTCGACTAATTTCTCAAGTACTCAATCAGACAACAATATCAAAGACTAGCATACAATATACCAAATAGAATTGCAATTTTGAACAGAGAAAAAAAAATCCCACCTCAATCAGCCCACTAAGCAGCCCCAACAGGCATTTTTTCCGGCCCCCACGTACGCGTCTGCTCCCGTCTCAACACAGCATCTTCCTCCTCCGCCCACGCCAGCGACTCACTAGGCAGCATGACAGCGCGATCAATAGCAACAGGGAGGCCGCGATGGCGCCCACGGAGACAAACAGCCGCAAGGATCAGCTTGCTGACCGTGTGCCACGAGCCGCAAAACGACGAATTGCTCCCGGGGAAGCCCACGCTGACGCCCACACAGCCGTACCCGGAGACGACTTCGAAGATTATGTTGAAGGTCGAATAGGCGACTGGGTTCTCGGTGTAGTGGGGCGCCTCGGCGATGGCGATGAATAGTACAGCCAGCGCGATCCACCACACGTCGTGGCTGAGTTGGGATCGGAGCTGTTGGTGCACGAAATAGCCGCGCGAGGACTCGGCTGTGCCTGCGTCTTGACGGCCTAGGAGGTGATGGCGGACTAGGTCGATTAGAGCGTTTGGGGATGATGTGGACGGGTTGGTCTCGTGGGCTGGGCTGTCGTGCGCGTAGACTCCCAGCGAGCGCTCCTCGTATACGTTTGTGTTTCGCATTGTCACGAGAATGGGGAACGCTGAGACGTACATCATTAGGACGTAGAGGACTAGTAGGCCCTGTCGGAGGTCGGCGATCGTGACGACGTAGAATCCGCCGGCGCGGACGGCTAGAGCTTGGAATAATCCGTCGAGGACGCGGTAGCCTGGGGGGAGGCTCTCGAGTGCTTTGTTGCCGATCGCGAGGATCTCAAAGCCGGCCCAGTCGATCCCGTTCAGAATGATTACTGTGCCTAGTAGGTACCAGGTATGGCGTCGTGGAAAGAGGTTCGTGTACACCTAAATCGTTCCTTAGCTCTAGTGAGTGAAAAAATGAGTTTCCTGTACTTACCCGCCGGGGATGGTTCAGGATGAAGTCCAGGGTCAGTTTCCAGGTCGCCCACGACGGCCGATCCGGGACCATCTTCCTCATTGACCAGATGATGAGGCGTAAGAAGCACGGATAGAGTGTGTTACCGGCGAGAATCAATAATCCCATGGTGAGCAGTGGGTATGCGCTACAGTCAATCAGTTGGTGTCTGAAAGTAAAGGATGTCCCGAGCGTCAAACGAACCTGGTCTGCAGGGCAGTCATGTTCGCATCCAAGAGCGCCATTCCGCTGTTCACGAAAGCCGATACGGCGAAGAAGGCGCCCGTCCAGAATGGAGAGAGGCCATTTCTCCCAGGTATATCAGGATGATTTACTTCCAGCCAACATCCCACCCCGATAATACCGATGATAAGGAACATTCCCCAGTACAGAGGAACAATTACGGACAAGAAACACAAGGCCTTGTACTCCACCCCACCGAGCTGCTCCCGTTCTTCCAGAGTGAGGCCGTGGAACTGCGAGTTCCGTGAAACCAATGCCTCCGATGTAGGGTTGTTTGGTGATCCCGAGAGGACGCCTGTCAGCCGGGGCTCCTCCTTCTCGTCATTATTGGGCGTGTTTGGGGCCGCGTCTCGCGGATGATTGTTCAGATCCAGCCGCGCGCCGACTCCCACCATGGGGAACACTCGATGGTGGTGCTGGTTCTGACGGGTCTGCATGCTCGCCAAGGTAATCGCATCCCCATCATCAGCCCAGTGGATGTGTTCATCGTTGCGAGGATTTGGCAGCCCCTCGGTCACAGCAACCGGGGGAGCGAACTGTGTCTTCCTCTGATTCTCAACGTCAACAGCTGCCTCGCCACTTTGCGTGACGACATCACGGGGAGCTGTACGTCTCATGTCACGGTCCTCTAAGATGCCTTTGAACTTTTTCTTGAAGGCCCGTCTCCGAACAATCAAGACGGTGATCGAGATCAGGATAGCATGCCCAGCAATGAGAAGCATGAACATAATAGCCTGTTGGAAGGTGTTCAGTGTAGAGAGATCCACCTGGAAGGTCAGTCCGTATTCAAACATCTGAGATAGGAATGAAAGACATACAGCATTCAAACCAGCCCCGGTGATGGCGCTGACGCACATAAACAGCGAGTCCGCGTACGATACGCTGCGGGAAGGTGTAGATGCGCCCCAAAATATGACGCTGCATACAATGGATACGGCTATGAAATAAGCATAGTGAAGGGTGAGAAAGTTGGCTGGGGGAAGCAGCGCCATGATGCCTCGACCAAGAAGATCCTGCCACCTCCGGACTATACAAACATGTCAGATAACAGATCAAGGCGACTAACAGGGGAGCTTGGTCGTGCAGGGTTGAGGGCAGTTCACTTGACAGGGTACAGAACATACGAGCCATGATCATATCGGCTGTTCCGGCCTCAAGGCACGGAAATGTAATGCGATCGCCCAGCCCTAACTTGGGCGATTTATCTGAAGCAAGGGGCAAAAATTTGCGGTTGTAGATTGTCTCTCTGGGGGGTATGTCGTATGCGTTATGTAGGGAAAAGTCGGATGATATGGTCGAGCAGACCTCGTGCCTACTCCTTTCTTTTGAGGTGTACCACTACCCCAATGGACTTTGGAAAAACTTGATTGGTTTCAATCTTGCACGTATGTCCATTGTACAGTCTGGTGTAGTATAGGTTGAGTGTTTATTGAGACCAATGAGAAGGTAGTGTGAGTATAAGCGAGGGTTTTGATGGCACGGTAAAGTTCTTTTTTTTGCGCGGTAACGAGGCCGTGTTAAGTATTGGCTCGTCTTCTGATCGATTCGGTTACGGTTGATTGGTATTCAGATGGATTCGGTGGTTTTAAACTGAGGGTGGCGTGTGTTATTCCATTTCTGCAGCGGTCTTGTGTGAATAGAAGATGTAGTTTTCAGAGATCGTCAATATATTGGGATGATGCGGTGAGGGGAAAGACTGAACAAAGAAAGAAGAAAAAAAAAAGATACTAGGTAGCAACCTCAGGCCAGAAGGCGACGATCAAGTAAGCTTCGCGGTAGAGCCAATCAGCGGTGTAGAACTCACTACCTTATACCAGATAAGCGGGCCGAGTCGTTGACCACATTTGATGGTTCAAGATCACCACTCCGGCTTGGCATTTCTTCCAACTATAGGGCTGTTATATCGATTCAGACATGATAGGCCATATACTAGTAAGGATGCGTGTCACAACATTCTCGACATCCCCCTTACTTGTGCATCGAGGATTCTTTATGTCTGCTTCAGCTGTATTAGTCTCATTCATTCGTACCCTACGCTCTCCCTTCTTTTTCCAATTGAATCTCATCATTTGTCTTCTTTCTGACATGAATATTTTTGCGAATAGGCGCTTTTTATGTGTGCCTGTGGCAGTCCTACGCCACCCTCCTAGGCTATAACATAGCTTCTATTTTTCGAATCCCTTTTCACAGGCCGACAGATTGCTCCGATGCAGGATGATGATCTCTCCACAAACAACATTGACAAAGTCGCAGTCATGGGGAACCGAACAACTATAGTTCGCGAACTGTCGTGCAGCTTCTGAAAATAATTCGAGAATGTCTAAAAGGTTGACCAGCTCGTCGAGGATCATAACGTCTAAGTGCTGGACTAACGCACCTGTGAGCATACAATCATCCGCCATTCACCAGATATTGACAGTGGGGGAAGTTATCGAAAGTAGCTTCCTTGTATCCTATCCCAGTCAATATCTGTCGATCGTTTGCTCAACTTCGATACACCTGCCTGATATGATTGTCTAGTAGTGGTTTGGTCTATCAGTCCTCCTATTAACTCTCAACTCACCTCCGACTCGGGTCTATAGTCACTACAATGCATCTGGAGCAGGCTGGGTTTCTACTCTGAACATATCTATTGATACTGTTCATTTTCTGCCGCCGCTTCTGCCTGCTGGATGTCAGGAAGCACGTAGTTGATGGCGAATCGGAGCCGATATGCATCTCTCCCGAAAGGCCTGATGCTTTGACTGCGTGAATTTCAGGCCTGAGTGGGGAAACGGAGGCCCTTTGCTGCCTGAGGATTCAACGTCGGTACTCCTAGGCAGGATTACAGGAAAAGTTGGTACTGTTTACATAAAACTACCACTCGATAGCACGTCACGATTTACAATATCATAGGTAGATGATAAGTCAAGATGCATTTCTGGCAGGATTTCATTTGATCGGTAAATTTGATAGTGGGAGGAGGGAGATATATGAAAAGAATGCCAACAATGCTCCAGAAAATCGAATACATGAGTTGTTAAACAATTGGAGATCTGCAATCAATGACAATAGACAGGGCACGAGGCACGAAAGTTGACAGTATACTACATGCATGTCGCACACCTCGTAGTGTGGGAAAAATAATCACCGAGTCTACCGGGTACTGTTTGTGTTCCCCAGCGAAGGGATCGGTTGCAAAACAAAAAGTCGGAGGAGAAAAGAGAATGTAAATCAGAAACTAAATATGGGAAGAAAGAAAAAAAAGAAAAAGAAAAAAAGGATGAGGCTGGTGGGATTCGAACCCAACGACCTTGTGGATGTTCCTGGACTGGAATCACACGCGCTACCAACTGCGCCACAGCCCCTTCTTGTTGAATATCCGATTCTGTACCGGTTTCTTGATGGCCAGAGGTAGAAATCCCTTGAACAGTCACCTA